TAAGGCTAAAAACAGTCTTTTATCTATCAAATTTATCTGTTTGTTTTTTGGTACCGGGGATCAAACTAGGGATTTCTAGTTGTTTGTTGTTCGGGGAAATCAATCAAAACCTGTTATAGGGCATAAAGAGTAGAAAGTGACACAGAGGAATGATAAGGGCGGCCACCTTTTGATGAGAAAGGAATTTTCACCCCTCATTCTAATCTCCAGGGTCGCCTTGCTGTCCACTTCAGTATTTATATCCTGTCTTTCAGCATTTCCTTTCCCTGGTTCACTGACTCTGGGGTTCCCTCAGTTAACTGTTAGATCACCATTGCTTTCTGGACCACTAAAAGAGGACTAGATCACTGCCGGTAAGGCCTTGGTGATCTCTTGGTGAGACGCCGTTGGTGTAAGGCATTCTGATTTGGGAGGCGTAGAGATGCAAGGTGTGTGAGAGTAGCTGGAAGTCCCTTTGCAGCGTCTGTCTCCAAAGGAAGAAGTGGCTTGGGTGTTCTGTGACTCCTGTGGCACCCGTGGCCCACAGTGTCCTGGGTGGCTCTTCCGAGTCCAGAAGCCCTTTGCTGCCAGGGTCTCTGGAAGTCGGGAAGCTCGATGTGTGGGCTGCAGAGGGTGGAGGTGGAGCCAGGCACCCCCGGGGAACGCCAGATCCCACCAGTCTGGCTGTCAGCCAGTGTCCTGACCCCCACCCTGCCGTGTGGAGTGGTCGGGAAGGACAGAAAATGTGGGCTTTTGATGACAGAGCCCAGGCACTGATGCCAGCCATGCCCGCCACCAAGTAGTGTGAGCTCAGGACTGTAATCGCAGCTATGTGCAAACCACTCACGCCTTTATCTGGTTTCCCTGTCAAGGAGAGGTGTTCATTCCGGTCTCAATGTTTATGTAGAGCTTAAGGAAAGTGAAGTGTAGTGTTGGGGAACTGATAGAGAATCTTCACTCCAGAAGCCTTTGTAAATGCTGCCTACTCGATTAGAAAACTTCCCTCCGTCCTGAAGGGTGCTGCCGCCTGTGCTGTTGTCCGGGGAGAACACCTTCTGCCGAGAAAGGAGTGGGGTGTCAGGGTCCCCTGCCTAGTATTCATCAGGATTCCCCAGCATGAATATAATCAAGACCCAGAGACTGGCAGCGGGAGAAAGTCTCCAGACTGAGCATGACTCAGATTTTATAAAAAGATCAAACGCAGTTCTTTGCTCAGGAATCTTGTCGGGAAAGCCTGTCCAAGGCAGTAGAGCCCCAGCGGCTGGCTGGCTGGCTGTCGGTTCTGAAGCACTGGGCCGTGCCAGGGTATGCCAGTGAGCAGATGGGTCAAATCCCCCCCATGCCAGTGCCCGCTTGCTTGCACATATGTGAGCACCACCCAGGGATGACGGCGTGCTGAGCAAAACCTGTGGTTTCTGCTGTTGTGGACTTTTCAGTCAGTGGGGGAAAGTGACACTGAACAAATAGGGAAATCAGACGACACGAACTGGGGAGTGCTGAAGAGGACAGCTGTGTGGAACTCCTGATGGCAAGCAAGGGCTGCTCTGCAGGTGGGGATCAGGGAGCCTCTGAAGTTGGCACCCAGACCCTGGAAATGGGAGACAGTCCGGGAGAGAGGGCCAGGGAGGCTGGGGCTGTGTGGCCCCAGGGCGACATGAACAAACAAGGGATGATGCAGGCTGCACCTTGGAAACTCCGGGCTGCTGGGGGACAGCGGCACCCCGGAGCCCGCAGCTGTCCAGGAGAGAGCCCGTGAGGGCTGCCAGGGTGCAGGACGCAGAGGAGCGCTGGATCCTGGGAGCAGAGCAGCCAGGGCAGCGGCTCCCGCAGGACGTCTGCTTTTGTGCCTGCATTTCTGGATCTACACACTGAGCCCCAAGTGGATCCAGATCTCTTGTTTATGGCAGCTGAACTGAATATGCGCTGCCGTGTTGTCACCACTCAGTGCAACAGGGTAATGCTGTGGACAGGGTCTCCACTGTATAGGTAGTGGGGGAAATGTGGGCACCAGTCTGTCGCTTTATACAGAGCCTGCAGATCTGGGATGGGGTGTCCCTGGCTCCTGGCCGGTCCCTGGGGTGCTGAGGCTGTCCAGTATCCCTGGGGTGGGGGGAGCTCAGAGATGACCAGCCTCACAGTCGGGGCCTCCAACAGTGACATGAGAGGTTTCTTCCACAGTTGTTTTCGTAAATATGATTACATGTTATGTTAGTGAATTTAAGACATAATCATTGTGTTTTAGGTTATAAAATATTCTAAATGGAAATGGTCTCACTATAACCATAGAGCAGACCTTACAGATTCTATTTACTTTAGGATGCTACAATGTGAGTCCTTTAATTGTAACATAATGCATATTTAAAATAACTTTGCTGTAATCGTAGGACAATTTAAATTTATACTTTCCAAATTAGATAGCACATTCACTTTGTTTTCCTAACTAGATGTAATTTAAAAGTCTGTTATTAATTACAAGTAGACGTGTGCCTTCTAACTTGTGGAAGTAAAGATAACACATTTTCCCAGTTTCTTAATGTTTACAGTTTATTTTTGAAAAGTCGCTTTCCTTGTCACTGAGGCAAGTGTCCCCACACCTGTGGTCGAAGGGCAGAGTTCGTCTGGGCTCTCTCTGTCCGTGGTCTGTGGTCTGTGGTCTGTGGTCTGTGGTCAGCTGGGCAGGGTGAAGGAGGCCCATGGGGAGCCACTCCCATCCTGTGTCTGGGAAGCGGCGCCGAGGGAGGGAGATGAGCCCCACCTCACCCCAGTGCTCCCTGATCTGTAGGATCTGTGGGTCAGCTCAGGACCTCACAGCATCCCAGGGACCATCGCCCTCCAGAATCCACCTCAAGCAGGAGGCTTGGGGGGACATTGGATCCACACCCAATAGTGGTCGATCCACTGTTGAGCTGCAGCTCCTCTCCTGCTCCTCCTGCAGGTGTGCAGCCCTTCACATAGTAATCTAGAGCAGTGTGGGCGAGGGCACCAGGTGAGAAGGGGCTTCTGCTTGCCCCAAGCCACACAGCCTCCCTGCAAGGCGCCCAGCGGCTATCTGGTATGTGAATTCAGTTGCACAAGCCCACATTTTAGCGTAGCGAGAACCCCATACCTTCATAGGCAGCGCAGCTTTCCTGCTGTGTGGCCCTGGGGAAGAAGGTTGGGCACAGGTGTCTGTGGGAGGGAGCACGTGCTCCTTGGAAAATCTCAGAGAAGGTAGAGTGTTTTGTCCAGCAGAGGCTCCTGGGCCAGCCGGTGTATGGGGACGGCCTCTGCCTGGTCCCTGAGGGGAGACGTTGGTATGTGGAAGGTTTCCAGAGGGCTGAACATGACGAAGTGGGAGGTGGGCCAGTGGCCACCCTAACAGTGCAGAGTTCGGGCAGCTCCTGCCTTACAAGAACGCACCTGGCAGGTAGAACCCTCCGGGGCCGCAGTGCTGTGTGTGTCCTGTACTGTACATGTGTGTGCACTCATGGACACTAGGGAGTGGGATGTGCACCCCTGAAGTTGTATGTGCGGGATCTGCCACATTTACAGCGTGCTCGGTAATCCTTGACTATATGTAATTTTCCTGTTATGTGCTTGCTTAGAGCTGTTCCCTGCAGAAGAAGTGACTCGGCCTTTCCGTGGGGATATTCTTTAAGCCTGACTGCCTCTTGCCTAATGAGCCTTTTTCTCCACTTAGGGGAGAAAATATGGAACTTACTCCATGTCCAAGTCAGTTTTCTCTGGCTCTTTCAGACACCGTGTATTACCCCTCACTCCTTGAAGGTTAGGTGGTAAGGGTCCGGCCTCTTCCCTCAGGTGGGGCTAGTTCCTGGCTCTGCACCTCGCCCTCGATGACCTTGGATGGACTCCCCACTGCTGTAGTTCTTGGCCTGCACTGAATTGTTGAATCAGTTGGATGTGTAACCTCTGGGACCTACTCCGGCCCATACATTCTGTGTTGAAAACATACTTGCTGCAGCCGGCAGCGTCCTTGGCTCTTGAGGGACAGGCCACAGTCCTGCCTTGGAAGGAATTGAGGAATTCTGTGTGGCTGACGTGGAACACTGCTGCTGGAGCCCCCGTGGAAGTCCAGGAGCACGTCTCTAGTGTGCCACCCTGCTGTCCCACACACCGATGACATGTGTGGTAGCCGCTCCCTTGTTGGGGTGCCTTTTTGTCCACTTTTATCTTCTAGTGCAGCAGACCTGTTCTGCACAGGCCCAGGTATTCTCAGTCTCGGGAAGGTATAGACAGTATGTAAACAAATGGGTGTGGCTGTGTTCTAATAAAACTATTTACAAAGACTATTTCTGTTCATATCTGGAGTTGAAGGTTAAGACCCATGTGAAACTGGAATGGTTGCCGAATCCTCTGCTTAGCTCGGGTCTGTGGGCCTGGCCAGACGAGTCAAGGACGTAGGCCGGGCTTGGTGTAGATCCTGTCAGTTGTCACACACACACCTTACTGCAGGCCTTTTTGTTGCTGGGCTTATTGGACAGGAGGAGCCTCAGGACCCTCACCAGGGATTTAAACAAATTACCAAGGATTTCTGGAGACCCAGAGCTAGGCAGATGATGCTTGCCTCCTGTGTCCTCAGAGACAGAAACTTCTGCCCAGACATGGGCTCTTCTTTAGAGCCTGACCCAACAGAATGATCTTGTGCCATGTCTGTGACCTTCCACTGTCCTGCCGTGTTCACCATCTCCAGCCTCTTCAGGTTGCTTGGAGAGGGGAGCCCACTCCAGCTGTTGTTCTGTGGGTCTGTGGCAGCTGGCTCTGGGGGGGTGTGTAAGGCCAGAAGGCAGTCAGACTCTCCCTCCAGGAGCGTCTCCTCATCATGGTACCCAAAGGCATGTGCCGTTCAGGCATTGGAAACTGGAGACAGGGCCGTAGGAAAGGAGCCGCGAGCATAAATAAGCCCGCCTCTTCCTTCCGTCCTGGAAAGTCCTGGTTTTGACACCGAAGGACCCAGGGACGAGGCGTCTATTGCAGCAGCTGGCGTCTCAGCGAGTCGAATGGGGGCTCTGCTTTGTTCACAGGAAGAGGGGACGTCCAGCCTCAGTTGGACAGCGCGCTCCAAGACGTCAATGATAAGTACCTCCTGCTGGAGGAGACGGAGAAGCAGGCGGTGCGCAAGGCTCTGATGGAGGAACGGGGCCGATTCTGCGCCTTCGTCTCTATGCTGCGGCCAGTGATCGTAAGTGGGAGAAGGCCCCGGAAGGCGTGCACTCTGGTGTGGAAGGGCTTCCTCTTTATGAATGCACCCGACACGGAGTCAGGAGGACGCACCGCGTCAGCAATGACATTGCAGTCCTGACTGAGGACCGGGGATGGGGGATGGCCATGTGGCCCACGGTGTGTTCACAGGCGGCACCAGGTGCTCCACTTGTCTGGAAGGCCTGGGAGGGGTTCTCCCGAGAGACCCAGCCACCAGCATCACCTGGGTGCTGGTTAGAAATGGAAGTGCTCAGGCCCAACCCAGATCACTGAATCCAAAACTCTGGGCCGGGGCCCCAGCAGTCCGTTACATAAGTCTTCTGGTGATGTCTGAAGCTTGTTGGCCAAACCGCACACCCAGGAATGACTGTGAAATTAATACAGGAAAAGCTTCAACTGATAATTTCAGTCCTCCTCTCTGGTACTTCTTTTTGTACCAGGGATCAAACTTGGAACCTTGTGCTTGCAAGGCAGGCGGCCGCACCACTGAGCTAAATCCCCAGCCCTCCACCTCCTTTCTGAATATGTCCTTTGCATCCCGTCATTGAGAGCTTTGGGGTGAGTGCTACAAAGGCCTGAAAGATGGCCCTGCTGTACCTCCCCTCACTTCTGGCAAGACACTGGTTGGCGTTTTTCCTTGAGGCTAGAACTTGGCCCTGGATCATTGGAAGCTTTGGAAAGACAATGACATGTATCCTCTCCTCTCCCCAACCTCGCTCACCATTTATTAAGATGATTGTAAGAGACAAGTTGAGGGCCTCTGTTGAACACAACAGGAAACTTGGAAAGGCCATATGTGGTCAGCGACCCTAGCAGAAGCCGTTGGACCAAAAGCATGACATGAATCCCATGTCCTAATATTGTGTGAACCCTCTTTTTGCAGGAAGAGGAGATTGCAATGCTGGGGGAGATCACCCACCTGCAGACCATCTCAGAAGACCTGAAGAGCCTGACCATGGATCCTCACAAACTGCCCTCCTCCAGCGAGCAGGTAGGCACGGCCGCAAAGGGTTGGACGGTGAGGCTTCACATGCTCAGGGGACCCGTGTGCCACCTGCCACATCCTTTGCCCTATGATGCATGGGGTCACCGTGGCCAGCACTGTCTGGTGCCTGCGTAGTGTGACGGGCACTGCTCTGAGCTCTGCACAGACGCACTCACCCTCCCTGTGGCGCCGGTCCATGACCCTGAGGACTGCGACACGGAGCCGCTGACCCGGCTTGCCCAGCTGTGGTGGTGGTCTGGGGGCCCGAGCCAGGCTGTGCAGGACCAGGGCTCTGCTCTTGCAGGATGTGGCATGGTGTGCTTGGGCTGTCACAGCTCCTGCCCTCCTCCCGCTGTGGTGGCACTTGGGAACAGCTCTTGTCTTAGGAAAAGACACTGCCTTCATGCTGTGTCGCCTGTACGCGTGATGTTAACACTGCTGATGTGTTTGGGGATGCGAGGAACTGTGTGCCAGATGAGCCCTCTCACACAGCTCCTGCCTCCTCCTCGGAGAGCAGTGTAGGATGCATTCTGGAGCTTGTGTCTTTGTTCCTCTGTGAAGAGTTCGCTCTAGTGCAGCAAGTATGCCTTCACTCGTGAACAGCCGCAGTGGGCGGAAGTTGGCCTTACCCCTTACCCTCCAGGGGCACTTCAGGAGCATGAAAATGTGTGCCAATACAGCTGCGGAAGGGTTGGCTTGCTCTTGATCCTGTCAGCTTCTCAAGTCCTGACCCTGGTCATACAGGGAACAGGTGGCCGCCGCATAGGAAGTGGTTTCAGTGTCAATTCAGCAGGTCCAGAGCCACTGTTGCCTCTGTGGGGCTACGAGGTGAAACTCCTGCCCATGCCAGCCTTGGGTACGAAGAGCTGTGAAGTCATGTGTGGTCACTGTGGTTCTCTCTCTTTTAACGGATATTTCACGGTTTTCCTTTTCTCTCTGCACCCTCACTAGCTACAGTTTTGCTTGCCTCAGAGAAAGGATAGTGACATGGATGTACATTGAGTACAGCTCTTTAATTTAAAAAAACCTTGATGTTTTCTTCCTTATTCCCACTGCCCGCGAGGGCCATCTTGTGGTGTCCTGTGAGTGTTGAAGTATGGTGGATGTGTTCCCTCCTCAGCACCCTGCTTATCATTCCTTGGCTCTGTCCCCTCAGGTGATCTTGGACTTGAAAGGTTCTGACTACAGTTGGTCCTATCAGACTCCACCCTCTTCCCCCAGTGCCACCATGTCCAGAAAGTCCAGCGTCTGCAGGTAAGGTGTGGCAGGGTCTCTAGCTTTCAGGGACAGGAGGTGGTGAGGGGTCTGCTGCAGGAACAGTTGGGACTTGGGTCTCACTCTCTTGAGTCGGAGAGGAAGCCCATCAGCCCACCAGCCCTTAGTCTGCTGAATACTGCGTGCTGTCTTTCAGTCTCACGCTGTAGGGACTTTGGCGTTTTATGACACTGTATTTGAGTTTCCTCTTGAAGCACAGGAAACACCACCAGGACTCGAGGAGAGTGAATGTAGTCCACTCCTTATTCAGGCTGATTTCACTGTTGTTGGAACAAGTAGAGGAAGCACCTTGCTGTGCCCTCCACCATCTTTTTCTCGAGTTTTCGTAGAGTAAATGGACTTCTTGCTTTGTCACCTACACCATCACAAGCTCTGCCCAGCAGTCCATTACCTGTGGAGACAGACTCCTGTGGAAGGTCTGCCAGCCACAGAGCTGTCGCCTAGCAGTTTTGTTAGGTGGCTGTTTTTGGCTTGCTGGCTGGGAAAATTTGTTCTCCTTGGAAGTGGGGACGTTAATCGTACATTGCTTGATAGAGCCCACCTGCTGCTAATCATGTTGTTTGGCACTGCAAAGCCAGATGGGCCCCTTTTCCTGGCTGAGGAGGGTGCAGTGCAGATACGCTGGTCTGTGTATGGAATGTCTGTGTACCCGGGTGTGTTGGATTTCACCCTGTAGCTTGCACACATACCCACTTAGCTGGCAGCTCAGGTCAAGAGTTATATCCTGACACTCTGCCTCTGAAGATGTCAGTGGTTTCTTGTCATCTTTTTGGGGGCTCTGTGTATTAGTCACTGAGAGAGAAGTACATTATATTAGTAGGCAAGAAAAATGCATGAAGGTAAAGCCAGCTGCATGGTGTGTCCCCTTTCTCCCAGTCTTGGCTGAGTGGAAGAATGCAAAGCATTGTCGTGAGCCGTTGCAGGAGCTGCTGTGAGGATTACTGTCAGTCCCCCCAGTGTCCTCTCTCGCTATTTGGGAGGTGAAGGCAGAAATCGTGGTCTCTGTCCCCGCAGAGCGGTTCCCTCTGGCGGGCTACCTCGTGTCAGTCTGAACATTGCACACACAAGTCCTGGTGGTGGCCAGGGTGCAGCGCTTGACTGCCACCTGCTTAGCTGCTGTGTGTGCAGCAGAGTCTGCTGCAGGGTGGGGGTAGAAACCAGACTACTGACCCCAGGCTGGCTTGTTTACCTCCCCTCAGGCACTCTGCAGTGGCCTTTATGGTTCAGTTCTGCCTGTTAGGACCGTGGGACTCAGCTCATCTGTTTGTCATAACCAAGGTTCTGCGCACAGAGTACACAGTATATTTCTTGCAGCTGGAGATGGTATGCAGGCAGAACACCCAGGGGGCATGTGTCCCTGCTCCACTTTGTGTTCATTGCTCCATCTTGGAAGCAAACAGCTTGGCACTGATTGCCTCTGGTGGCTCAAAACTGCCTGCTTCTTGTCAAATACAGTTGGGCCAGGCCTGAACTTCAACAGAGAAATACCTGAGGTCAGGGGAGAGACTATTAACTGAAGCACCCACGGTTTTGATATGAGGTGAAATGCACACATGCAGTCGTACGGATGGATTTGCGATGTTCTGTACCACAGTCTTGCCTGGGCAGGGGTCCTGCAGCTGTGGTTGGCTGTGTGGACACTGGTCCTCTAGACCCGGCTACTCCATCTGAGGACACCCAGGCAGGTCGTGCTGAAGGCATAGTGGGCCTTGTTCTGGGGTGGAGGTTTCCGCAGACAGATGGGATCAGCCCTGCTGGCTCTGGTGGTAGATGACGTAGCGAAGTCGGGCATCCTTTATCCGTGGTGTGTGCATTGCATCACCAGCGACCTGAGCCTCATTTGCTCTCGCCCACCTGAACAAACCTTTTGTTCCTGGTGCAGTGACTCGGTGCCAGGTAGCTTAGGGTCTGTGCCCCGTCTGGTGCCCAGAGCTGACTGCATTGTGTTGTGCTCTTCCTCCCTGCCCCGGGCCTGTCCCACTTCTCGCTCTCGCTCCACGGCTGCCCTTGCTCCTTGACCCTCACAGCAGCCTGAACAGTGTCAACAGCAGCGACTCGCGGTCCAGCGGCTCCCACTCGCATTCTCCCAGCTCGCACTACCGCTACCGCAGCTCCAACCTGGCCCAGCAGGCGCCTGTGCGGCTGTCCAGCGTGTCCTCCCATGACTCGGGCTTCATTTCTCAGGACGCCTTCCAGTCCAAGTCTCCCTCCCCCATGCCGCCAGAGGCTGCCAACCAGGTAAGCGCGCCCACGGCCTGCGGGGAGCACAGGGTGACCTTGGCGGGTGGACCGTGTGTGCTGATGTGGAGCCCTTGGTCTCAAGGTGTGCCCCACAGGCAGGATGGCGCAAGTTGGACTGGAAGGCTATCTGGGTGGCATGGCCGAGGACCCCTCCTGTGTAAGCAGCAACATCCCCATGTCCCTGGCCCAGGGAGGGTCAGCTAATGGGTGCTGGGTGCCTCCTGCATGCCCAGCTCAGGTTCTCCCTCACTGGCTGAGATCCTGTTGTTGCAAAGCCACTCAGATGCCCTTCCGTTGGCCCTCTCAGCGTCGCTCTATTATTTTGTATTTCCAGTGCAATGAATCACCAGCACCTCCACAGATAATGCTGTCGGGTCTTTGATCCTGGGAGAAGGGGTGGTATGGGGTGTTTTGGGTTAGACAGCACCAGCCCAGCCCAGCCCGGTGCTCCAGCTTCAGCCAAAGGCTGGGCCTGAGCAAGAATCAACACCCTTCATGTGCACATAGGCCCCTCCTTGTCTCTCCCATAGTGTGCAGTTACTGAACATGACGGAAAAATGTACTGGGCTGCCACCCGTGAGCCCCATAGCGCCACCTGCTGGGCAGCCTTGGCCAGAGCATCACGTTGCTCCCAGCTGGAGAACTGGAACCTCAGGGCTCAGCACTTTCTTTTGCTTCCCTGGGAAACTGTGACCTCTTTCTCATCTTTGTTTAGAGACTCGGTTTCATATGGAAACAGACATCCTAGTGCACCACTGTAGTTTAATGTGCCTGCCCTTTGTCATGCTCTGGGGTGCCTTGGCTTAACCTCCAAGTTGTCCTTTGTCCCTTGCCATGTGCTTTTACTAAACCATGCCTGCCCCGCTCGCAAGCAGAGTGTGAATGGTCAGGGGAAAGCAGGACTCACACTCCCGGAGGCTGTTCTCTCACAGCGTAATTGTGAGTTTGTTCTCAGTGTGCCACAGCCCTTACTGAAGGGGAGAGCGAAAGCAGAAGGTGGGAAATGGGGATTTTCTGAAATTTGAACCTGTGCCCAACAGTGGTGTGACGAGTAATATTAGCGAAGTTTTAATAAGCTCAAAGATGCTGCCGGCTTTAATCGAGACCTCTGTTTTTTAAAGGCATCTTGGCTGCTTGTAATTATAAGGTGGGAGAATTTAAGGAAATTGCACAGACAAAATCAGCTTGCAGTCACCTTCAGTTTAGATGCCTTTGACCCCATTCCGGAAATGGAAAACAATAAATTCAGAGAGCTTTGAAGTCCACGGTTCCTCAGCTAAACCTGACAGAGGCAGAGCTTTGAACCCTCAGACTCTGGGTCCTGGGCTGCGCGGAGACCCTGAGCTCGGGCCAGTAGGATGCCTGTCCACCCTTCAGCCTGTCCTTGCTTGAGCTCCCTGGAGCCCTGCGAACTGCTGAATGTCATCCTGGTCCCTGGTCTTCTTGGGACAGGAAAGCTAAGCTCAGTCCCTCTGCAGGAGCCTTTCTGATGGGGGTGGAAGGGGCAGAAACACCAGGGTGGGTTCCTTGACAGCTGATTCTAGAATACTTCTGGAGAAATCCTGGTACAGCAGGGCAGGCTTATTTCAGCATCCTGGGGTTAAGGGAGAGGTGACAGGTGACAGTGAAATGCTTCAAGTCCCAGGGCGCAGGCCGGTGCCTGGGACCCAGTTGACAGGAGAGGGTGGTCACTGCTGGATTGCTGTCAGCGTTTCTGGAGCACCTGTCCCTGCCCAGTTGGGTTGGGAACCTGTGTGTGATGGTGAATGTGTCAGCCAAGGAGCCTTGCTGTGAGCACACACCCTGCCCACACGTGGTGCTAGGGTTTAGCACCCCTCTGCAGGAGGAGCTGTCCTGAGCCCAGATGGCTGTGCAGGCAGGGACAGCTCCGTGCATCCCAGAGCTGGAGCCACCCATAAAAGAGCTGCCAGGCATTAGGGCCATTCCAAGAGACGCGTCACTGAGTGCTGCCTGAGCCTGTGAGAGGCTGGCCAGGCGGCCCTGGGCCCTTTGACACCAGAGCTCAGCCCTGCCACCTGGTCGGCCCTCCAGTGCTGGGCACACACTCAATCCCACATCCTTGAGCCCACAGCCCAGCAGGGAAGGAGTTTGCCTGGTCTCACGCTTGTTTCTAGGGCTTGAAACTTACGTATGAGTGCAAAGTGGGGAAGTAACCCTAACTGTGCTCTCTCGTCCTCCCCTCTCCCGTGTGCATCTGTCTCGTGTGTGCCCTCCCGCCCCCCCCCACTTTTGTGTGTGATGATTTGGTGGTGTGCTTTGGTTTGCCGTCCCCTCGTGTGCCCCTCCCGCTGCAGAACTCGTCCAGCTCGGCCTCCTCCGAAGCCTCGGAAACCTGCCAGTCAGTGAGCGAGTGCAGCTCCCCCACCTCTGTCAGCTCAGGCTCCACCATGGGTGCCTGGGCGTCCACGGAGAAGGTGACCGCCAGGGCACAGCTGTCCTGCTGCAGGAGTTGGACCCTCAGCCCGTGCCCCAGAGCAGGCCCTTCTTGGGGACGGGGTGCAGGCCAAGGGCTGTCTGGAGGAGCAGGGCAGGAAGGGCTGTGGGGACCTGGGGGCAAAGGCCCCGACCCGGCTGGTGCTGCGTGCTGTCCCCTCCCCAGCCCCTGGTGACATCCCACTGTGCTGCTGTGCTTGGGCTGGCTCCCCCCGCCCCCGCCCCTAACTGGGTGATGAGTTTGGAAACCTGCACTGAACAAGTTCACTTGGAGATGCTGCCAGACTTGGAAATTTGCATGAAGGGACGAGCAGATCCCTGTCACATGGAACCATGCTGCACTAGTTAATCAGTCAAAGGCCTCGGTTTCCACACTGTGCAGGCAGGTCCGGCGTCTCCCTGACGGGCCCTGCGATCTGTATGCGTTCTCGGTCCCCAGCTCTTCTTGCTCGGCAGCAGTGCCCATGTTGGCCTGTGACACCTAGGTCCCCTCCCCAGTGTTGATGCCATTGTGTACCCCCACACTCATCTTGTCATATTAATTTTTTTCCTTTTCTTCCCTCTTTTTGTTTCCAGTTGTCTAATGGGTTCTCTCACTGTAGTTTATCAAGTGAGGCCCGTATGGGGCCCGTGGGTGCAGGTGCTTTCCCTCATTGCCTGCCCGCCTCCCGCCTGCTCCCTCGGGTCACCTCTGTCCACCTTCCAGACCACGCTCATTATTACACCATTGGGCCCGGCATGTTCCCGTCATCTCAGATCCCTAGCTGGAAGGTTTGTGTCTCCTCCCCTCATTGCTCCGCCTGCTCAGTGCTCCATCCTCCCCCTTCTTCCCAGAGCACCCACCTCCCTGGTCCTCCCCTTGGGCAGAGCCAGCCACAGCCAGCAGGGCTTCCTGTAAGGGGCCCCAGTTACCCAGTCACAGGGCCCAGGAGCCTCAGCTCCTGCTCAGGGCCACATTGCCCGGGTCCACACCTCCTGAGGCAGCCCACCCAGCCGCGCGTCTCCTGCAGGGCCAGAGTCACCACCTAGATTATATTTGCAGTCATTGTGTTTTATCTTAGATGCACACAGACTTTGTTTTAGTTTGGGTCCTTCTAGACTTAGCTCCTGGGAAGTTAGGTTGCTGCAGGAGGATGATCTGTTTTATTTCTGAGAAGGCCCTAATTTGAAAAAGTCAGCACCTCAGTTGCCGGCGGCTTTGAGCAAGTTTAGACTTCACCGCTCAGAGGTTTGCGTGGCTGCCCAGGCTGCTCAGAGCCCTCCTCCCGCTGCCCCAGGCCTGCTTCACAGGAGGTAGAAGGTCCAACCCAGAACGGGAGTGGGAGTGGGCAGCCCGCCAGTGCCCCCCAGTGGCCAGCATGGCACCGTGCAGCAGTCCAAGCCCGACTGCCTTTGCTGCAGCCCTCGCAGGTGGGCGAGGTGGCCCTCAGGGGTCCTGCTAGTGGCCTGGCTTCTGGGCATTTGTACCCGGTGGGCAGAGGTGAGGAGGAGGAGGTCCCCAGGGCCCCCAGGAGCCGGGTGGGCAGCAGAGGGGCTGCGGGTACCCCTTACATGGCTGCCCCCTAGGACTGGGCCAAGCCGGGCCCCTACGACCAGCCACTGGCCAACACCCTGCAGCGCCGAAAGGACAAGCGAGAGCCTGAAGGCGGGGCAGGCGGCCCAGCCGAGGAGACGCAGAGACCGCGCAGCATGACCGTGTCGGCAGAGGTGGGAGGTCCCCAGGGCCCCCAGGAGCCGGGTGGGCAGCAGAGGGGCTGCGGGTACCCCTTACATGGCTGCCCCCTAGGACTGGGCCAAGCCGGGCCCCTACGACCAGCCACTGGCCAACACCCAACACATGGAGCCGGGGTGGTGGTCTGGGGCGCGCTTGAAGCCAGGGCCTCACACCGTCTGCCCACCCTGCAGCCTGGGGAAGAGGTGGAAGCCTGCGAGGAGCTGGCACTGGCCCTGGCACGGGGCCTCCAGCTGGACGCGCAGAGGAGCAGCCGGGACTCGCTGCAGTGCTCCAGTGGGTACAGCACCCAGACCACCACGCCCTGCTGCTCTGAGGACACCATCCCCTCCCAAGGTAGGTGGGAAGCCGAGGCGGGAGGGTCTCAACTGCAGACAGAGCCAGAAAACACAAACCAGGCTGGTGCTCCCAGGCCCCAGTGTGTGCAAGCAAAGACGGTGTAGGGAGACAGAGAGCAAAGGGTGGGAGGGAAAGGGGACGGTTGTTTTCATCAGGAATGTTCTGGCGAGGTGACACAGCTGTCACGCACGGCTGCCATCCCAGCTACTCAGGAGACAGGCAGGAGGCCTGCACATCCAGACAGCCTTGGCAAGACCTTGGCTAGCGAAGTGAAACAGTGGAGAGTTGACTCCACTGAGTTCGGGTCCCAGCAGCACCAGAGTAACAGCAGTTGGCCTGGACTTCAGCAGCTTTTCTCACTTCCCCCTCTGGGGTGCAGGGGGGTCCCAACCTGCGCTCAGACACGGCTTCTTTTTCATTTGCCACTTTGTACTAGGCATTTTTAAGTTTCTTATTAGTATGTTTGTGATACATAGTGATTATGCATGATCCTGCATGGTGAGTTGGTACAGCTACATACTTTTTTTTTTTGGTACTGGGAATCAAACTCTAGTCCTTGCACATGCAAGGTAGGCGGCGGAACCACCGAGCAAAATGCCTGGCCCCTCCTTTTCTTTTTCTGAGAGTCGTGCTGTGTAGTTCAGGCCAGCCATGGGTTTGTGAGCCTCCTCCCGTCTCTCCATGCCGGGATTAGAGGTGTGTGCCATCAGCCTGCCCTGCGCTGTCCTGAGGCAGTGCCACATGTCACCGTGGATCCCGCATGTACCTCACTTTTGGGAACTCACTGTCCAACCTTTGTGCTTGCTGTAGCCAGTTAATGAGTTGGGAGATTTTCAGATCTGTGCTAATCTGTCAGGTTTGTGTTTCACACCGGGTTCCAGACCAGAAGATCTGTAGATTCGTCTCTTTCATCCCTCACAGCAGCTCTGCTGCAGCCTGGCTTCTTGGCAGTTTCCACAGTAACAGTACCTGCACGGCCAGTTACAGCAGTAACAGAGACAAGGGCCCTGCAGGGAGCCCTCAGGGAGGCTCCTGGGCTGGGACTGGGGTGATCTTGTGTGTGCCATCTCTGAGCCTGTGTCCTCTCAGCTCTGGGCCTTGACTGTCTAATCAGATCCCACACTCAGTTTCAGATTATGATTATTTCTCCGTAAGTGGGGACCAGGAGGCCGATCAGCAGGAGTTTGATAAATCCTCCACCATCCCAAGAAACAGTGACATCAGCCAGTCCTATCGACGCATGTTCCAAGCCAAGCGCCCAGCCTCGACAGCCGGCCTCCCCATCACCCTGGGACCTGCTGTGGTCACTCCAGGGGTCGCAACCATCCGACGGACCCCTTCCACCAAGCCCTCCGTCCGCCGGGGGGTCATTGGGGGCGGCCCCATCCCCATCAAGACACCAGTGATCCCTGTCAAAACCCCGACAGTCCCAGATCTCCCCGGGGTGCTGCCCTCACCCCCAGATGGGCTGGGGGAGGGCACCCCAGGAATCGCCAGCACACTTTCCTCCAGCCCCCCACTCCCGGGCCCCAAGCCCAGTGTCCCCGTCCCTGAGGAGCACAGACAGGCGATTCCAGAGAGTGAGGCTGAGGAGCAGGAAAGGGATCCCCCAACTGCCACCGGCTCCCCAGGGCCGATGCCCGAGAGCGACACCACAGACCCAAGTCCGAGGGCTGCTCCCCAGGGGGAGGACATGCTGAATGCCATCCGCAGGGGCGTGAAGCTGAAGAAGACCACCACCAACGACCGCTCTGCCCCTCGCTTCTCTTAGGCTCCCACTGGAGAGCGAACTCTTTAGTTAGTAAAACCCAATTGGTCCTAATCCATTCCAATCTGGCATCAAAAAATTTTGTAGGCAATTCAGAAGTCAGCTCTTTTGAAAATACTCAACATATTTAGATAAGAATTAAAATCAAAATATGTAATGACATCATCTTGATCTCTTAAATTTGTAAATACAATTTTCTTTCTGCATTTTAATCTTAGTTTCCCTTTTGATTTTTCTGAAGGTGCCAAATTCCATTTAACTTTTTTACAAGTCTTTGTAAAATTTTAAATGCATAGGGGGGTGGGTTGGGGCTGGGGAACCAGAGTAGTTTATTTCAGAAAAGGATTACTATACTTAGTTGATTTTTTTTCCTTCCCACCCCTGCAAGCTTTTGTAGATGCATTGTAGTAGTCTAGCCTAGAAGCGAATCCGAGTTATTTTAATGTACAAAGTGGGTAAGGGGTAAAAGTCTTGTTTAAATATATACTGTTCTGGATGAGAAAAGCAGGACTAACAATTGAGCAATATTCAGAGAAGCGAGTCTGGAGGAGGTAGACTCAGCGGGGCTGGGAGGGCGGTGGGAGGGGCGCTGTCTGCGTGACCTTTAAGAGTAGCCTAGGTTGAGTTTCTAGTAGCTTCATGGTAAATGCATCCACATAAGCCATACTGGAGTGCAGTGTTTCATTTCTGTAGGGCTTTTAAGGACTTTCTCCCAGATTCCTCCGCACCGCACGCAGCACCGCACCGCCTGGAGTCCCGCATGCTGCCGCCTCAGGGTAGATGTAGGCCCCCACTTAGTCTACTGAGCTCACTCCTATTGAATCCAAACACGTCTGAGGGTAAGGCAGTTTCTAACAATGTGGAAACTGCTAGCAGGGAATTCTTAGATACAGCAAATGCCTTTTACTTACCCTGTGCCCAGCAGGCTGGGTGCATTGAAAAGCCCAAATATTTTGAAAAAACTTGAGTGGATTTAACAAGGGTCACCAGCTTGGAGTCCAGCAACTTGCTAACGTGTTTACCAACCTGGGGTCTTGTTTTTCTTCCTTAAATAAATGGCATTGAACTGGCTTGAAGAGGATTTATTGTCACTGGGAATCTGACCCACTATACTGTCCCTTATTTTAGGCAGTGGTTTTGGAATGGATTTGTGTCTTAAGTGAAAGTTGAAATTGTTATAATGCCCATCTCCAAACTCAACAGAGCTTTGTAGAGCCAAAGGGATGGCATTTGAGGCAAGCTGGCAGGCCCCTGCAGGGGGCCTGTTCCTCCCTGTGGGTTTCTGTGGGCCCTGCCTTCATGGTGCCCTTCCGCTTTCCCACCAAACTGCGCTGGACATGAGAGTACCGTAGCTGTAGTCGCTGTTCTATATATTAACACATAACACTGCTGTGATTGCTCAAGGACACTTTATGTTACAGCTTCGAGCAAGGCATGATTATTAGAAACTAAGCTTTTTCCTTTGAAAAACAAGCTCCTAATACAGACTATAAGCAACAGTAGTGCCTGTGGTTTAGCCCACCAATCTGATGACAAGTAGCTGATGCACTGTGCATATGATGCTTGAGAGGGTTTTTGCAAAAGCAGAAATCGTTGGCAGGTGATTACAATAAAGTGGTATTTTAACCCTTTCAAATAAACGGATGTAACTGTACCCTGGTACAGCTTTTCACTTGTTTAGCTTTTAAACGTTAGTATAATCTGAATAAATTTAATATACAATGTTGCCAAATTCAATGTAGAGAATGTGACAAAACACCTTGGATAGTTCTGTTTGTGTTTTTGCATATTGTAAAAGCAGTGTCACAGCTAAAAATAAACCCTTTCTCAAGGTAAATTATTGTGGTTTAGTTGCTAGTTTGTACTGAGTGTTGGCCTCTCCTGTGCAGGTTTTGTTCGGAACTTGTATAAATAACAGTTGTGTAGTGTGTCTCCCTTCTACATTGTAACAGTTGCTTCAGCCTACATTACAAATAAAGAACCACTAGAAAAAAAGCCGTTTCAAGTCTTATTAAAATTTAGTTTGAGGCCCCAGTCAGCTATCAAGATGACTGGGACTCAAATTTGAGTTCTTTCTGACATTTCTGCATCGCTTATAGGGTCTGCAAACAAGAGTTCCCTAAACTGTGAGTTTGAAAACCGTTCTAATGAATTACTGAGAACTAAAAGCAACCAGTTTTGGTTGAGTTTGGAAAATTACTTAAGCTTCTTGGAAGAAAACTCCTTGAAACAAAAGGGCTGTGCCATGTTCTTACCTTTGGGGCTACAAACAGTCCAGCGCTGGAAGAAGCAAAGTTGGGCAGCTGGCTCCAGAGGTCACGGCTTCATCCAGACCCAACCCTTACCCAGCCATTCACTTCCACTCCTGACAGGACGAGGCCAACTCCATGCCTGTTGGGAGAACTGTTCTTTGCAGAACTAAAATCCCAGCCAGGCCTGCAATCCCAGCACTCTGGAGGCTAGACAGGAGGATTGCAAGTTTCAGCCCAACTTGGGCAACTAAGTGACTTAGTAAAACTGTCTCAAAAAAAAAAGTTGGGGATATAACTCAGTGCAAAGGCCCTGGGTTCAATCTGCAGCAGCAGCAGCAAAAAAAAAAAATAAATAAATAAAATAAAAAAGCACTATAATCTCTCTAGAACCCTTAGAAAACCAAAAAGGTATTTAAACCCTCAGGATTTCTCTCTTGACTGTATTTGCTCTGGTTATTACAGCTAATCAAGCCTATATCGTAACAGCTGTTCAATTCAGGCTTCAGTTTTCCCTTCCAGATAACATGATTTCAGCACAATTTGTCTGTCACACGTCTACCCAGTGACCTGGCACCTCAGCGATGTCAGACAGAAGAATGCCACAGTCATAGCACACCAGGTGATTTTATTAGGGCAAATGAACTTCCCTTGCAAGTATGAACACAAGGTGCCCGTGCCTCTACATGGGCCGCTCCCGGGGCCTGGTCACAATGTGCCACCACAGTGGGGGCAGGTCGCCCTCCTTTCTAGCAGGAGGCAAAGCTTCAGTCTTGGGACCATCCGGTGGGGTTTCCTCCTGCAGCTGTTTAACCTAGAGGGGGTGAGGAAGGAAGAGTCAGACACCAACTGGTGTGGTGAGGTGACAGCCTCTGTCCCACTCCGCACACCCGGCCTCACTGCTGAGACGGCTGTGTACAGCTGCAGTGTTTCTATGCTCCTGGTTCTATCAGAAAATCTTCCCCCTCCAGCAGCAATGAGGACTGAAGCCAAGGCCTGTGCACTGAGCTGCACCCTAGGCCTCATGCCCTGGGCCCCTGGGCTCAAACTTGGAGCCTAATCCTTTTGCCCTAACCTCCCAGAGTGCTGAAATTATAGGCATGTGCCACCACCTTTGGCAAATTTTCAGAAAAGCTGGAAATGACCATCATGCCCCTCCTGTTCTTTAAACAAAGGACGATTACATCTGCAATTCCCTTTGTCACAGTCCCCAACCACCTCCCCTCCCAGAGAAACATTTATTCTTGTGTCTCCACTGTCAGTGTGTTAGTGTAAAGCCCCCACCCACCCCGGACAGTAGCCTGGACAAAAAGTAACATGAAATCACATGTAAAAATGGGCCCAGTCTACGTGATGTTGCCAAGCAGCCCCAGTTCTAGCAATCTCTGAGGTCACTGTCCTCACAGCAGGAGACCTAAGAGCCCAAGCTCCTGCACCTAGGTGTGCTGGCTAACCTGCTGAAGAGGTGGAAAGTGAGGTGAACTGCTTCAGAAATAACCAGCTGCAGAATGAGCCTGGCTCCTTAACCGTGGAAACACTCTGCCAGCTTCTAAATGCTGTGACATTTCTTAACAAAACATGGTGCCTCTTGGCCATAGTGATCTTCCCTCCACTTCACCTTGGCCAGGGATTTCCAAAGAACAGCATCCTGACCCTAACACAGAACCAGCACAACTTCTACACTAGCAATTCCAGCACACCATATACTACCCAGCCACCACCTGCCCTTAGAGCACTTGGGAACCTCAAGAGATTACAGCTCTCAAGCTGGCCTCTGTCCGTCCTTTCCTTTATTCAGTTTAGACTCCGTCATAGCAATCATTCTTCTGAATCACCTCAGTCTCGGCAACTGTAGTGGGCAACTCACCACCCACCTTTAACCTAGTGCTGACAGACAGTATGACTAAGAGGACAAAGTCCTGGAACAGAGTGCTGTCGTAACACAGTGGCTACTCCCAGCCTTGGATGGGCCTTCACTGCCACCCGCATCCCACAGCTCTCCAGCAAGCACATGCTCTCGGCGAGGAGCACCCCTTCTCCACACTGCACCACTTCCTGTGGCATTCATCGTCACCAAAAACAGACGCTGTCACACACAAGTCTCACTGACTCAAATTATACATTTTACATCCAATTTTTACAGAGGAAGAATTCTTGCTCCTTTCTTCTCTCTCTACACTCTCTCCTAAGAGCTCCTTTACTTCTGTGGCTTTACAAACAACCCAAAACGTACATTTCTATTTCTAGACCAACTCTCTTCTTTGAGGTTCAGATTCCTACATCCAAAGTTGTACCCTATATCTCACACAGGCCCCTCAAATGTCACACTTCTACAATGAGATGCCTGACTGTCCTTCTGATGCCTGTTTCCGCATACTGGAAATGTTACAGCTTAACAGTGGAAACCATTCTTGATGCCCTGCTCTCTCCCACCCACCCCCGCACCCCAGTCTTTCTCTTTCTCAAAAAGATACCTGGGATGTCAATTTCCTGCATATCTACTCAATCCACCCCAGTGCTGGTCACAGTAACCCTTTGACTGGAGTACCACAGTAACCCAAATGCACTCTACTTTTCCTCCTGGCCTCCTGTATTGTACTGACAGTATACAGAAAAAGTGACCTTTTATAACTGACCACCAGGAGATCACTGTAAAATGCTTAAGGCTCTAGGGTGGCGAAGGTCAAGGAATAGTAAGGGTATACCAAGAAGGTCAGCCAAAGGACTAACTAAGGTCAATGAGAACAGAAACAAAACTAGAGAAACATCCTAGCGGAAGACTAGAGGATACATTTAAACTTATGTTACGTGGAACACACTTAGAAAATGAAATGCATCTGAGAAGCAAGGGGCCAGCGTGTCCTAGCCGGACTGCGACCTTAACATGCAGAAGCACACACTGGCTGTCCAGGTGCTGACTGCTCCAGTGATTCCCAAGGAGACACACCTCTCGCTCCCAGCTTTCCAACCGCAGTTTCTTCCACTGCTCTCTCTTGGCAAAGTAATCAGGATACATAGCCTTCTCAGAAGGGTGCCAGTGATCTAAGCACCATTCTGGAACCTGCCAGGAGAGGAAATCAGGATGTCACTCTACAGGATACACTTACCTGCCGCCGACAGGGTCCTGCTTAGGAGAGAGACAAAAATAAAGTTGTACTTTCATAATCACTGGGACTACCAGGTTGTTTCTGACTCTAAGAAATGAACAGCAGAGGCTAAGCAAGGACCAAAGACAAAGAATGCCATAATGCAGACAGCCCAGGGTTGCAAAATAGCAGTATCAGCCAAGACAACCACACCCTTCTTGCCCTAGCTACACCTTCTGAACACCCAGGGTGACGTCGTGTTACTTGGAGGCCTCACTTAAGAGTAGCTAATGAACAGTAAGTACCAATCCAAACAGGGTAACTTTCAGGTCCCCAAACTAGGTATTTCCAAGTAACTTATCAACTGGCTTTGCCAAAAAGCATACTGCAAGATCATGGAGCTGAATTTAAAAAGTTTTAATGACATCTGAGAGAAAAAAACTGACATCTGAACAAAAAAAATCTGACAACTCAGGAAAAAAATGTCATCACCATTCACAGAGCAGAGCAAGTGGTGTATAAGGCTGAGGTCTGCGATCAAGGAACACAGACCACCTTTCCGTCTGGTTCTCACCATGATCCTCTTACCTTGTAGCACTCGTATCTCTCATAAGAGGTGCCCCCAGGAGAGTCAGGGAAGATGTACGGCTGCGGGTGCTGATTCTGCCAGAATTCTTCTTCTGCCTGCCTCAGAAGCTGGGTGGCCTTCCTCATATCCTTCTCATTCCTATGTTCTTCAAACCGGGCTCTCATCAAACACGCAAAGTACCGGTATTTGTCCCTTAAGCCAAAGGATTTTGGTGGTTACTGAAGGAGGATATAGTATAGTCTGACAGGAGCTGCACTCCTGCTCATGCTGCCAGGAGGACCGGGATAATTTCCGGGCATGTCCCCCACGCTGCCTGTGGAGCAGCCCCATCACGACTACTTCCTTTGCAGCCCTCCAACCATTAGCAAGAAACACTGTGTTGAACACAGCCTAGTCATTTTCTCCTTCCTTCAACAAAGAAATGACACAAGATAAGAAAAGGAATTAATAAAAAAGCTATGGATAGCTTCTGTAGGAGTGTTCAACATTTACTCACAACTTACTGAATTTCCTGTCTTGTACTAGGACTATGATAAACTCTGGAAGAGGTCGAATAAAGAGAGGTGTTTCATGGTACAGTCATGCTCAAATTACAGAGATTTAGGTTTGAATCCTGACTGGCACTAGTCATACCTTGGGCAGGCTACAGACAGGTTTTGAAGGAACTGTGGGCAGACTTCACTTAGAAGCCTGGATGTTGTATGCCTATACTCCCAACACTGAAGAGGCTGAGGCAAGACAATAGTAAATTTAAGGTCAGCCTGGACTACACAGTGAGACCTCAAAAAAAAAAATGTAACTAGTTAAGCTAATGGAAAATGGTCCTAATAAATCTTACTAACTAAAAATAATCACCAACAATAAATATCTACTTCAGTGAGGGTGCTGTGAGTACCGTTCAGACCAGAGGACAAAGGCCTAAAGTAGGCCCCTGTATTGACAGTATCGGAGAAAAGATATTTAGGTCCATTTATGAGAATGGACCTGAATTATATAGCTTTGCTACTGCTAGAAGCATAATCTGGGGTAAACTACTCAATGAGTCTAAGCAAGAGTTCCTTGGTAAATATCTACACCCCAAAGTCTTTGTGAAGATTCCAGGGGCCAAAACACATAAACACACTTCACAAAGCACCTGATATCCCAAGTGTACAACATATAACATGTTATGACATGGTGTCATGGTCTATATCTAGAGGTCCCCCAAAGCTTCATGTGTTCATACATGGGGCTTTTGACTTTATAGTTATATGTGATGGTAGGAGGTAGGGTCCAGTCAGAAGAGATATTCACTGGGGGTGTAGTTTAGAAGGGTGCAAGTGGACCCTTGACTTTCTAACTCAACTCCTTCCAGAGGGCTGGTTGTAACTCAAGTTGGTCACCTGCCTTTAAAGTCTCTCTCCTGTATAATTTTAGGCCACACTTTCTTCCGGGCAGATCTCGGTGTCCTTAGAGAGACACTGGCCTAGGATTTCTCAGTTAACTCCGCACAGTGAAGGATACTGTAATGTTTCTTCCAGAACTCATTTAAGGATTAAATCTGTATCTGAGACCATCTGGAAGTACAAATGGCCAGCATTGAGGTTGTAACTCAAGACTTTGAAAGTTTAAAATTCTAGTCATAACCCAAGTTGTTCATATGTCAGGCCAGTTGTAACTCAAGGGTTCACTGTATCTCTTTTCCTAGCTCTTCCCTGAGCTCACTGCTTCCCATGTACCTCCAGGTGAGTAGATCTCCTCTACCAAACTCTTACCCCATGCCTTCCTGCCTCAGAGCCAGGCAAATATGGACTAAAAATTTGAGTAAAAAATAAACCTCTCCTCCTTTGAGTTGCAGGTTTTGGCTATTTTGTTCCAGCTATAAAGTAACTAAGACACATGGGAAAGAGCTTATTAAAAAATCAGTGTCCAGATTTACATAGTGTATGGCATATAAACATGGGTGTTACTCACGGAGATAAGAACGTGAGAGCAATTTTAACATTTTAAACTTAAGTGACTAAAGTTCTAATAATGCCACTAGCTGGGTCATAAAATTTGGGAAGAGAATCTGAATGACAGAATGAGAAAATGAGTTTGGCTTTTAAATTATTCAGACAAGCTAAGTTTCAGAGAAAGGAAGGTGATCTAACAAGCAATTGGAAATATAGCTGTAGAGCCAAATGAACACAAATGGCAACTTAAGTCCCAGAATTACATGAAAGCGCCCAAAGCACATACACACTTTAGCCTAGAATGGAACCAGAGAACAGAGTACCATGGAGGCAAATGAAGAAATTCAGGCAAGGACTGTGGAAGAACGTGAAACTTAAAATGTTGAGTCAGTGCTATCACTGTAGTTAGTTTTATCATTTCCTCTGTGACTATGAACTTTAATATTCCGAGTTGTACTTCAGCAACCTGGATTCTTGACGGCATAACTTTCTTCACAATATTGATAATTCTGTTATCTATTTGTTTACATTCTCATCCCCATCCATGAGCTGCTGCAGCTCAAAAAGGATTAACTTTTATTTGGCATCCATCATAAAAGCTGAATTGCGTATTGTCTAAATAGGAAAGATTCAAGAAAGAAACGAAATCTCACAACGATGTACCTGGCCACCTTCCTGCACAGCAAAGAGAATGTTCAGTCTGGGCTTCAAGGTTACCCTCTGCAACTCTCAAAGGCCAATTTAGCTTTTCATCGTTTAGAGCAGATGTCCTTCAACTGGGATTAGGTTTTGGGATTCTGACAAGAGAGCAGTGGCCTGGCATTGACAAATCTTGGATGGTGACCTATCTTGCATAACATTTAGGTCACAAAAGAACTATATATTTTAACACTATGTTCTAGGACCAGTTTTTGGATAGAGGAGGAAAGAAAAATGTGGGAGATGGAAAAGATGCTAAAGAAATGACAGGACTGGATGAAGCTACAAAAAGAAAAGCTGATGGGACGGGTGGGAGAATGACGATGCTTTGGAGTCAAGACCCCTGAATTTTAATCCTGGCTTGGACACTTAGTAGCCGTTCGACCTTGGCCAAGCTAGTCCCAGGGCCTCAATCTGCTCATCTGTGAAACAGGGCTAAAATAATCCCCCACTCCCAACTCCGGAGTTGTCTTGTGCACTTAACTATTGTACATACTGCTGTTGGTGTTAGGCACGATAAGATCGTGAAGAAAATGTCCTTCAGTGAGCGATGAACCTACGGCAATTATGGTTTCGGACACTTCACTTAATCTTCATGCAACCCTGTGCGCTGCGTCCCGCGTCCACTTTACTGAAGGAAAGGGGCAGGCTCCTCCTAAGCATCTCTTCGAGTTCTGGCTGCAATGGGCGGCGAGCCTGGGGCTCCGGGAGCGGGAATCTCCTCCCCCCACGTCCCCAAAGTCCTTGGGCCGCCCGGGCCTCTCAGCCTCCACGCCCACGGTCGCCCTCCCGAGCCCCGGGGCCCCTGCTCCCACCTGTGGACACACCACGACTCGAGGTGGCGCAGCGCCCGCTTATAAAGCCGCAACACTTTTTGCTGGTGGGTCAGGTAGGCCGCCGGCGCCGAGAACGCCATAGCCGGGCCCTTACCTTCAGCGGCCGCGGGGGCTGCTGGGAACCGGAAGTCGGAGCTGTGGGCGGGACTAACGCCGGAAGGGCCTGCCGACCTGAGGCCACGTACATTTCCGCCGGGGAGGAGCCGGCTACGCAGCCATGAGTCGCTACAAATTCGTCGGTGAGAAAAGCGTTTTCGGTCCATGGTCCTTTCTACTGTCCCTCAGTCTCTCGCCTCGTATAGAGACCCCGAGCTTGTAGCTCCCCGGCTGTTTCAGGACTTGCAATGGGATAGGGTGTAGGGCGGAATCAGTACTGGTAATGGATGGTCTGATTCTTCATTTGAGTGCTGGTTTCACGAGTGTGTACTGTATTTGTGAACATTCATGAGCTGAACAGATCTGTGCTGCTTTCAGAGTGTCTGTTGTATTCGGTTAGAGACCTGGGAGTGTAGCTTAGTGGTGGGGCACTTGCCTAGCATTCTCGAGGCCTTGGGTGCGATTGCCAGCACCGAAATAAAAGCAACCTCTAAAAGATCAGTCACTACATGCTCTCTTCTCTCCGTGCACCCCACCTCTACCCTTCTCCCTCGCCGTGGTTGAAAGGATTGGCTCGGAGGGACCTATTAATCCATCACTGTTGCTGAGTGCTTCTGATGGCCTAGGCCCTGACCTGGAACACGGGGCGCAGAGAGAGATCTGGTCCCAGCTGTGCTGGCGTCGCCATCTGCTGGATAAACTAGAGGACGCCTACGGTAGGGAGAAAAACCAATTCCCGTTACTTGGCAAGTGCAGAGTTGTTTCAACTGCAGCTGGACGAAAGGTAGAGTACAGCAGGGATCCACGAGGTATGAATCATTATTAGGCATTTAGGAAAACCTGAGGGACATTGTAAGAGCTGTGATCAAAAAGGTAACTTGGGACTCAAGAGTCTCAGTTTAGTTCCACTCAGTGTGGAGGTTCACAAAAAGCTTTTCAGAGGAAGCATTCAGTAAATCGTCGAATGCCAGGTGCGTGGCCAGCCTCTTGAGCTGTGACATACACCAGTGTGTAAAGCTTGATCTTTGCCTTGGTAGAATTTCCAGCTGCTTACAGGTGGGAAATGACAGCAATCACATCCTAAGGTGATCCTGCTAGCTATTATATGGATGTAGCAGGTATGAAAATCATTTCAGATCTTGAGCTAGGTCCGTGGAAAAGAGAAATGAAAGAGACTGGCACAGTATTTAGCAACTGAGTGTTCAAGGCAGGTTATGGCAAGTGAACAAACGAGACTCAGGGTTTGAATAAATACTAAACATGAAATGGAAGCATGCCTGGCAGGAGTAGTGGGAGCACCACCAGGTCCATGTGGGCACGGACATCATCCCGGCACCTGGAAATGTAGTCGGTGCTTCAGAGAGTAGTTAAGGTCATAAGTGTAAATCTGAGTTATTTTAAGCAGTGTACTTCTCCAAAGACATTTTGTTGAACACTGAAACTATAAAACATTACATTGCAGTTCTCAGACTGGAGAGGTGAGCCCTGTGTACAGTCAAGGCAAGTACAGAGGAGAATGTGTGTGCCAAGAGAGGGTTAGAGTGCCATGAGATCCCGGTGTGAAGGTGGATACGCAAAGGCTATGAAGCGTCTTCTGGGATGTGATGTTTCTGCCTGCACCCTCATCTGATAGATGATGGTGGAGATGGAATAGGCATGGGGCACTCCACAGAGAACACTTACAGAGATTTGTTTCTGGCATACAGCGGATCCCCTGCCTCAAGTCACTTGTTTTTAAGTTCATTTTCCATATAGGCTCTGGAGTGGTCTATCAGAAAGTCAGATCAACTAAACTTTTCTTCTGTAGATCTTTGATTTGCTCTCCTCAGGACATCTGAACTGTCTTAACATCATGCAAAGCTCTTCTGCTGCTGTCTGGTCCTGCCCACAGTTCCATCCTCATCCCTCGTGTGCCTTTTAAACTCTTGTCTACAAGTTCCTTTCCTTGGGCAAGGTTTTAAAGTGTCAGTTTGGGCCAAAATGTTTTTCTATGCTTCCTTTGTGCTTCTGACTACCCTGTTGCCCGGCCTTGTACATATTAAGAGTTCATAAATCTATCCTGTGCCACATTATTTATAATTAAATATCGATGTACCAGCTTTTCTCACTAGACCAAACTTTGTAAGACAGGGACTGGTATTTTTCTTTGTTTCTCAGGGATTTAGTACAGTGACTGTTCAATGGAAGTATGAATGATTGTGTAAAAATATATGTGGCCTTAACGCTGAGGTGGTAAGGAAGTTGATAATTTTTAGAACGAGGTGAAATAGAAAAGGAGGTGACTTTATTGGAATAAATAATTGGGATAATTTTTTATGTTCTTCAGTTCCATCTCCTGATATAACTATATTAAAAGTTTGAAGCATATACTTCCCTAACTTTTAATTAAATATACATAGATGAATACAAACATCAAGATTTTTTGTTTTATAAAGACAAAAAAAGTCATACTATATGTATTCAATCTTTGTTACATAACTTGCTCTGATTTGTTTTGTTTTGTTTTGAGGCCAGGGTCTCATGATACAGTGCAGGCTGGCCTTGAATTCACTGTGTAAACCAGGTGGCCTCAAACTCACTGTGATCCTCGTGCCTCAGCCTCCCAAGTGTTGGGATTACAGGGATGTGCCACCATACCTGGTGCTTGCTCTGATACTTAATCTGTGTCATTTAAAAGACTTTATGAACCATTGCAGTGATGTTTCATCCTACCAATGTCATATTAGTTGCATAGAAAATTGGTTCATGAACAAGCATCAATTAAAACAATTACATGAAAAGCTAAACCAGTGTTAATGAAGGCAGCTGTAGATTTTAGTTTAGAACAGCTGACTATGCTCACTCAGGTTATAATACTCCACTTCCCTCTTCTCTGATTGTATAACACACTGCTTCCCCTTCATACAATACTGTGTTGGAGGAGGATGAGAAGCAGAACTATGTGTTGAAAAGTCTCCACCACCTCCTAAAAGTACAACTTTGAGGTACAGACGTAACACAGGAGCCTTTGAGAGACTTAAGATCCAAACCGTAGCCTGAGACCTACCTTTCCTTGCACCCTGAAGGCAGTATGGTGTGCCTGTGTAGTCTGACTTGTAGAGGGGTCCTACATCCCCACTACAATTCTGTGGTTCTAAGAACATCAAGCTACAAAAGCATTGGCCTTACTTCTTGGTTGTAGGAAGCATCTCCAGAATATCTGAGAAGTTACACCTTGACCCATTGTCCATGGCTCAGAAGACATCTGGGTGCAAGGACATGGTTATTTGTCCTAACTCCAGGGTTCCAAAAAGCATTCATCTACTCCCAGGAGTTCTGAACTAGGTGAAGTGAGGTGTGCTAGGAACAACACCAAAGACTAATTTAGATCAGATATGTATCGCAGGGCAGAGCACTTGCCTAGTGTGTGACCATGTTTATCTGAGCACCATTAGGGGTGGAAGGGGGGCAGGGTGTTTTGACGTCTTTTTAAATAATTACTGTCAAAATTACAAATACTTGGTTATGGATCTTTCATTCGTGATTCATGAATGAGGGCAACCTCCATTAACAGAATAGAATTAGAACTCCCACTTGGGGGTAGCAGAATACAGTGGGTTTTGTAAGGGGGAATGAGGAAATAGAATAGAGCAAAAAGAACTTGATCAGTTAACAGGTCACTTTTTTTGTAAGGGTTAAAGAAGAGGAGACTTCCCAGTTAGTCTGATTTGTGTTGTGATCGTTCTATTTCTTTAAAGTTTCAGTTTCCTTATGTAGCATTTAGCAAGAGTTAATATTTTGGTTTGTTCTGGTTTCTTGGGCCTCATACAATAGACTCTCATAATTTTTGTTTACTGGTACTTTTTTTCTTTTTTTTTTTGGTACCAGGGATTGAACTCAGGTCCTTGTGCTTGGGAGGCAGGCAGTGGAACCACTGAGCTATATCCCCTGCCCCTCTGGTAATTTTTTTTTAGACTTTATTACATAAATGACATTAAAAATTTTAACATTGTAAAAAAATAAAAACAACATACCACCTAAAATCTCACCCCTTAAAAATAAACTGATACAAATAATATTTCAGAATTTGTATCTATCTACTATATTTGCTGTCTTAAGTGGAAAGTATTTAATTGCACTTGAATTTGTAAGAAAAAAATCAAATTGAAGGGACTGCTGAACTTGTGATATCTATATTTCTTCACCAGAAGAGAATCCTTTAATGATTAAAAAAAATCATTAATATCATTGAGAAATTGGGAATAATTTTTATTTACCTGTTTTATTTAGCTGTTAATGTACAGTAACGTCAGTCAATTTTCTCAAACAGAACATGAAGAGATCACACCTAGACCTTATTTTTTTTTTACACATTTCTTCTGTTTTTATCAGCTTTTTTAAATGAACTTTCTCAAAGTTTATAACATTTTTCATCCCATTGTGGAAAAGTAATTAGCCCTATTGTTTCTCTTGCTGCTGTGTTAGAATAAATATAGTACTTAAGCTGGGCATAGTGGCTAGTGCTCCTGACCCCAGCATATGGGAGGCCAAAGCAGAATGTCTGAAAGTTTGAGGCCAGCCGGGGCTACATGTCTCAATAAAGCCAAACCAAGACTTTACGTAGAATTTAACCTCCAGTCCTTTTGTTCCGGCTTCTCCATTCCCAAGAGTGATTACTAATTTGTGGATTTCAAGGGGCAGGATTGATACTTGAACCTATAGGGGAGGAATAGATTCCCCTTCCCCTTAGTTCTTATGCAGGCTCTTTTTTTTTGTTTTGGTTTGTTTTTTGTTTTTTGAGACAGGGTCTCACTATGTAATTGAGACTCACCTGGAACTCACTATGTAGTCCAGGCTTGTCTTGAATTCACAGTGATCCTCCTGCCTCAGCCTCCCGAGTGCTCGGATTATAGGCTTACACCACCATGCCCAGCTCTTGTGCAGGCTCTTCAGCTGGATCTAGGAAAAAAAAAATCTATATGAGGATGATTAACAAGAGAAGAGCATACAAGTTTTATTAAAATGTACATGTACATAGGAAGCCTTGCAAGAGAGTGAAGTTCAGAGAAATTACTGAAGCAAGATGCTTTTACACTTTTTAGACACATACCAATAAATTTAGAGCCAGGCGAGTGGCGCACTCCTATAATAATCCTAACACTGGGGACATGGGCTGGAGGATCATAGCAAGTTCGAGGCTAGCCCAGGCTACATAGTGAGACCTGTCCCAAAAAAAATACAACACAGCAAACAAAACAAAACAAAACAAAATTTATGAAGAAATGACAGAAAAAAAATTGAGTTTGAATTAGTGTAGTAAATTCTAGGGATGTCACAAGGGGATATATGATGTGGGTGGAGGGGGTAAAAGCTAGTGGCAGGAGGAGGAGGGTCACTCCATGACCAGTGTCTGGTCATTAAGACTGTTTTCTAACCTTGCTACAGGAAGGATACACCTCCCAAAAGAATCTCAACAGCTTACTGTGTACAGGAAAACACGGGCCAGATGGCCCTTTCTGCGTTACAGTTCCTCAGTGATTTCAGCTGAAATAAGCAGTGTAGCAGTTTGGCATATTTAGAGGTGCCACATCCGTATCAAACCTATCAAAAGCTTTCCCTTTCTAGAAGGTCCCTCTGCCTTCCACCGCCCATCCCCATGAAGGAGTGCTGTGCACTCGAAAGGCCTGCCTGGCACACTCCATACTTACCCTGCATGGTTCTCTTGGCTTCATCTCCATTCTCTTCTCAAAACCAGACTTGATGGAAAGTGGTACCCCATGATTAGCATGAGAATTTCCTTAGATCAGTTTTTATCGCCTAAGTGGAATTTTTACTGTTCCCCAACTGACTGTCATTTATACACTCTTTCACTTTCAAAAATACTTTTAGCTCCAGCTATTATATACCAAAATCTACTACATTGATTCTAAATATTCTACATAATACACACACACACAGAAAAATATCTATACAAGATGAAAATGCAAACAATAAAAGAAAAAGAAAACATAACAGTCCAGTTTCCTAAAGCACATATAATCCCTTCTCCATGGCTATCTTTCCACCTCTCTAGACATACCAAACAAAATTTTTTTTTGTACTTGGGATCAAACTTGGGACTTTGCTCTTGTGAGGCAGGCGGCAGAACCACTGAGCTAAATCCCTGCCTACCAAACAAAATTTTGACCAGATTTTTATAATCTGCTTTTTCAGTCACATTGTCCTCCTTTCCATCTCAGGAAAACCGCATCTTAACTAATACTGTTGGTTAAACAGCTGGGGATTTAGCTCAGTGGTTCCACTGCCTGCCTCACAAGGGCAAGGACCTGAATTCAATCCCTGGTACAAAAAAAAAAAAAAAAAATCTAATACTGTTTGTTACCCAATACAATATATACACACTCTGGCTTGCCTCACACCCTACCCTAACTCTGCTTATCTTTGAAAATAGGATGCCTGGACATTAGAAGCTCTTCTTCCTCCCTAATCAACCTCTAACAGAGCCCAACAATGACCTACCACCATTTACTCCTGCCCACCTGCTGAGTGACACACCTGAGAAGTGCCCGACAGTGGCTGGTGGATGAAAAGGAGAGGAAGCAGTGCCTGAGTTCTCCACCTACCTCGAGAAAGGGATAAATAGATAATTTTCCCAGAGGAGGGGAGTATTTCTCCACCCCTTTTTAAAATTAGTACGTTTGCAGTACATGATGATTGCATTTATTGTGGGGAGTTGGTACATGTACATAACACATCTTTTTTGTTTCCTTCCTCTCCCACCCCTCCTTGCTTCCTCCATCTTTTTTTCCCCTTCCCACTTGCAAAAGCTCTATTTCCATTTTTCTTCAGTTTTCTCTTTTAAAAATCCCCTTTCCCTCCCTTCTTTCTCCACTCCATCTCTTGTTCCCCATCCCATTCGACAAAGGTATCCCTATTTCCTTCTTCTGTTTTATTAGCCTATCCTCTTCCCTCATTTTTCTTTTTTGTTTTTTTTTTTTGTTGTTGTTGTTGTTGTTGTTTTCCTGTCTGTTTTCGCACCCTGCCCTGAAAGGAATTGAAAGTTATTAGTAAGACAGACTCTCACCTCTCCTGTTGTGAGCCATTGAATAAACTTTGCTGTTGGCCCTGAACCTCAGTTTCATTTTTGGGCTTCACAGTACAGCATAGAAGAACATCCTGGTTTGGGCCTCTCAAGAAAGGGGACAAAATTTGTTGGTAACTTCACCAAAACCATGTTCACATTTTCCAGATTCTTTCACAAATGCCCTTCAGAGGGAGTCATGTCTAGAGAAGTGTCCAGTCCAGAGCCACACATTTAGTTGTCCTTTAAGTTGTAATATAGCGGTTGGCAAACTTTTTCTTTAAAGGGCTGTATAGTAAATGAACATTTTAGACTTTGTAAGCTATATGATCGATTGCAACTATTCATGGTGCCAGGCTTAATGTTTCAACTTAATGATTTTTTTACTTTAAAGCAAAAATGTGCCCTTATAGTGATGGTTTTTCCATTTCAGTACAGTGTTCAGTAAATTACATGAGTTATCAATAGATAATTTTGCCCAACTATAGGATGGTATAAGTCTTTTGAGTATGTTTAAAATAGATAAGCAAAGCTATGATGCTCAGTAGGCTAGGTGTATTAAATAATTTTTTTTTTTTTTTTTTTTTTTTTTTGTACCAGGGATCAAACTCAGGACCTTGCACTTGTGAGGCAGGCAGTAGTGCCACTGAGCTAAATCCCAGGCCCCCTTAAATGCTTTTTTGATGTAATATATTCTACTTGATGGAATAAGGATGTAGCTCAGAAGTAGCTCCATCATAGTTATGAGGTTTAATACTGTGACATAATAAATAAATACTTGGTTTCTGCTATGGTTATAGATCCTAAGACATTGGGCTCTTGTAAAGTGATGTGTCTTTTTGCATGTTAAAGAGATGACTAAGGGCTCCTGAGCAACCTCAGGATGAGGACTGTTTGCCAGGGAAACAAACTGTGTGATCAGAGGGTGGAAACTTTCTAAATTTTCAGTCCTAGGCACCCAAAACTCTGGGGGAGGAAAGAGCACCTCAAACATAGAGTTGTTCACCAGTTGCCGATGATTTATTCAGCCATATCTGTATGATGATGCCTCAATAAAACCACAGAAGGACGGTTTGAAGAGCTTCCAAATTGCTGCATGTGTGAAGATCCTAGGAAGGTATGGTGCCCTGAAGAGGACATGGAAAGAGGGTACTCCTCCCATACCTGGCTCTATGTGTCTCTTCCACTTGACTGTTCTGAGTTGTATCCTCTTACAATGAGCAGGTGATAGAAAGTAAAGTGCTTTCCTGAGTTCTGTGTATTGGTCACCTTTCCCATTGCTGAGACAAAATACCCGGAGGCCAAAATGTAGGGGAGGCGTGGTTCATTATGGCTCACAGTTTCATAGGTTTAGTCCATGGTCAGCTGGCTGCAGGGCAGAAACATCATTGCAGAAGACTGAGGTAGAGCAAGCTGTTTAGTTTGTGCCAGCTGGGAAGCAGAACGGGATCAGTCAGACCTGAGAGGATGTGGCAAAGGACCAAATATAGTACTCAGTAGAGTGTTTTACTAGTCCTCTGGGCAGCTCTCAAGCCAATCAAGTTGACAGTTAAGCTGTGATCTGCTTTAGCAAATGAACTAGACTTCAGTAGAAAACAGCTGATTTGTGGCAAAGTCACACAGAAGTTGAGCCAACCTGGGAAGCTATTGCTTTCTGTTAGCGTCTGAAGGAGGGGAGGCAGTCTGGTGGGACCAGGCCCCTGATCAGTAGGGTCTGAGATTTTGTCCAGGCAGTGTGAAACCTGAGTTAAATTGTAGGACACCCAGATAGTGGAAGAGAATTGGTTGTTGAGGGGAAAATAGCCCATACACAACTGGCATGTGAAATGAAGTGTGGAAAGTGGTGTGGATGTGAGAGTTTAGTAGGAGAAAGCAATACCTTATTATTCAAAGGAACCACAGGCAATATGTAAATAGATATGGCTGTGTACTAGAATTTTTAATAACTTTTACATGTCACAAAATACCCTTATGATTTTTTTTTTAAACTTTAAAATGTAAAACCATTCTTAGTTTAGTGGGCTTCAGGCTCAACGTGTCTCTTCTCTGACCTAGCATATTGTTATGGTGCTGACTTGTTGAAGGGCCCTCTCTGGTTGTCCCACCCAGTCTCATCTTTTGGGTTTGTCTTTGCTAAATGATAGTGCCATTTAGTTCTCTGATCTCCTGAATTTCCTGGAAACTTGAGATTATATTTTGAGAAAGCCTCTAACTGAGTTGCCCAGGCTGGCCTTACAACTGAGATCCTCCCACATTAGCTTCTCAGGTAGCTGGGGTACAGGTGTGTGCAGCCATTTAAAATGCCCTGTTTGCTCTTCCTTTGTATCCCTAACATGACTCATTGAGCCCAAAGAGTCAGGCTTCTGTTTGGAGGTATGGTTCTTGACTTGGTTATTAACATTACAGTTTTATACTCTTGTTTTGTTTTGTTTTGTTTTGTTTTGAAAAATAAAACTCATTAGTACTTGAGGCAGTTTTTAGGAAAGCCATTTATTTAAAAAATTACTGGAAAAGAAACATTTCTGATCTATATAGTGTGACTGTTATGCCCAAGTCGCGAAGTCTCCAAAGACCACCAAGGAGTCAGGTTCGATGCAATTACAAGAGGAGTTTATTATTGCAAGCTCAAGCCTGTACCCTCAGGTGTCACCGTTGCAGTGGCTTCAGACTGAGAGCCCCAGTACATTTTGGAAGCGGGTTTATATAAGATTAAGGAAACGTTTTGCTTATATAGTTTCTATTTTTAGCTCTCGCTTATCATTGGGTAATTGAAGGGTACTGGGAGGGCTTTTACATATCATTGGATATTCAAGGGGCACCAGGAGGGCACTTATTGGAAAATTACATAATGCCTACATTCGCAGAATCAATTCCTCTTTGTATTAGATCATCTGATTTTGCAAGCCAGGATATCAGCAGGTGGCTACCTATGTCAGCTATGACTAATTCCTATATTAATTAAATCAAACAGAAAAGGATTCATCTTGGGATCTTAAAAGAGGAACAGAAACAGGATAGAGATGCCCTAGGATAAACTTGCCCTTAAAAGAGGAACAGAAACACAGAGAGACTGTCACATAGTATGGAATTTTACAGAAAGAAACTTTTGCATTCACTCTGTTTTGGGTAAGGGGCATGGAGCCCACCTTGACCTGAAAATTTGGTCCTTATATGACACCCCACTGAATGTAGGGATCTCTTAATTTTTTCTTCAATCAGGACATACACAGCTAATTTTCCACTGTCTTTCTGTCATTTTCTCCTACCTCCATCTCCTTTTTTCTTAGTTTGCAACCCCTTTTACTGTCTGGCTACAACTGGCTAGAAATCGGTTTTCATAAAATATTTCTTACATTTATGTTTACTTTCCAAATAAGCATACGTCTGATAGGAACTATTTTAATGTAGAAGATGCAGTCCCTTATCATAGTGTTACTTTGTTTCTGGGGTGCTGAGATCTCCTTCTAAAGGTGTTTACTAGGTTCTTTCTGTCCTGACAAAAAGTTTAGTCAAGACAAGTGCAAAAGAAAGCAAGGTGACTCTTGTATCTCCCGCTCCTCAGGCTGACAGCAGGTCTAGGCCGCCCTATCAAAAACCTGCTCAAGTTCTTGCAAGAATTGAAGATAGCACTCTGAATGGTTCCAAGTGCAAATCTTTGGGAACTGTTCTGCACATGTGGCCTGCGACTGATCAACAGGTCACACCTACTCCCTCAGTCAGTTGGCCACACTCTAATCGCCTGCCTCAATAGAGCAGTGTATTTTGAACAGTTTAAATAAATAGAATTTTGACTAGCTTTGTTTTTTTATTCCATTATGTGGTGTGTTTGTTTGTTTGTTTTTTGAGACAGGATCTCACTATGTAGTCCAGGCTGGCCTTGAACTCACTGTTTAGTGCCCAGGCTGGCTTTGAACTTGGTCCTCTTACCGCAGCCTTGAGAGTGCTGGGGTTGTGTACCACTGGAAACATTTGGCTCTTTGATAATGCAGTCTTAGATTGGAAGTATTAAGTGCTTAAGATGCTGGGACATTATAACTAATGTTGACTAAAATTCCATTTGGTGTTGGCATGGTAGTCTTTGTATTGTTCTCTATAATAATACATATCATACTATAAGACTTTGGATCTGCAAAATGCTTTTTGTTTAGATTTGAGCCACATTCATTGCTAGAAGGAGAAATTCATGCCCATCTTACCTGTAAGAAAACTGAGGCTTAGTGTGGGCCACTTTTTTTTTGCCTGAGACCATTTAGCTAAAAATTGGCAGTTCTGGGAATTCTGACCCCAACCTCACTTCCCTAACTATGTAATTGCAGTTCTCCCATTTCTCTTTATGTCCTGGTACTTACAGCTTGACTGCTTTTTAGTCAGTTTGAATTTTTCTTTGGCCCCTGTGTATTGACTTATCAGTTGATCTAGTCAGTCTGCAGATGTTTGGGGTGGGTGGGTAGGTGAGGAAATGGTTTATATTTGAGGGGAAGTGGTTTGTATTGGTGTGGAAGATAATAAATTTGGGTATTACTTTCTTTTAAGAATAAAAAATGCATTTCAATAAAACATACACTGAAGACATTTTCTTTTGCATGAATAAATATGAATGAAATGTGCATTAATATTTAAAAGCAAAGTATTCACTGCCAAAACTTTGAATATTTCAAGAGCGCAACAAATTCTGAACACAGTATTGTCACATACTCTTACAATTTTCTCAGGAATAGTGAGCGATTAGCCTTTTTGTGGCTCATAGTCTGTTTTATACTTGTTTCTTGAGTTTCTGTCTCTCAGCTTTCATCCTTTTCCAATGTTTTCTGAAGTTCATGGTGGTGCTGAGAACACAAACCTTTCCACTGCACTCTGTGCAAGAGCCATCATTCCTTCCCGTCTCCTGCCTGTCTGGCTGATGTTGGGTTGCTTTTGTAAAGCATCATGTTCTTGGTAATTCTTTTGTATCCATTTGCTGGAAGAATTTGCTTTTTATACTCGGCAGTTTTTTTATGTGCTCCAGCACTGTTGCACTTCATTTCTTTGTAATTTCTCACAGTTTTCCAGCTCTCTGAGATGCATCTCATATACTGGCAAAGTTTTGCCCATTGAAAACACATCGAAACAGTGTGCTCAGCATGTGTCGATACTGGCTGTTTTTATCTGCTCAAAGTGATCCCAAATTTAGTTTTAATTTCCTCTTTTACACTCTGCTTTTTGCATCTTTCATAAGCATAAGGGAGGCCCCCCCTTCCCGGGATCCAGAGTTGCACCATTTACTGAAACTGTCCACTAGCAGATTAATTCTCCAGTCTTCTCCAGCACCACCTCCATCAATAAGGAAACGTTTATGACCTGGTTGTCAGTCACAGCTCCCATGGTAATGTAAAGTGGTATCCTATTTTTTTTTTTTAACTATGAGACTGATTTTTATTTCATGTTAAGTTCTGTTCAGAAAACTTAAGTGAACTGTATGTGTTCAGAGTAGATATCAGCTCAGAATTTTTGTTGTGCCATGTCTATAGTCACTTCAGTTTTCAGGTGTTTTAATTCTAGCTAGCATATGTACATAGTTGATCTTACATTGATACAGAATATGTAACTTACTAAGCAAAATAATATTACCACTGAGAAAATGTTTTACTTTATGTTGCTCAAAGTCTTTAAAAACAGGTGTTTTTTAAAGGCCTCAGTTAGGGCCAGGCATTTAGCTCCATGGTGCCACTGCCTGCACGAGTTTGATCCCCGGTACAAAAAAAAAAAAAAAAAAAAAAAAAGGTCTCACTTAATATATAATGACATGAAGAGGGCTGAGATTCACCTTCACAAAAATTTCTAGTCCTTGGGGAGGGGGAGGGGGTGGGGAAATGGGCAGAGTGAAGACATGACAGGTACAAAGTCCTAATAACCTCAAAGAATGTGATGATTACATGCTGTAAACATGAACAAAGATTAACAATGTCAACAAGAATGAAAAGGGAAAGGAGAGCTAGAGGAGAGGAGGGAGGGGGATTAAAAAAAACAAACAAGCTCCATTATGTACATCTACAAACTTCCCAAGATGATTGTATACTGCAGGTATTGCAAACAGGTATTTTTAAAAAAGTAATAGCAGAAATTTAAATACATTTTCTATCCCTTATAGAAAAAAAAAACAAATATTGAGCTTACACAAGAAAACCAACTTAAATGAAAGTGGTACCTTTTAAAGCATTACTTCTGTGAATTATCTTTCAGTTGTTTCAACAGTTGAGCTTTGCATGCCAATATCTACATATGAATAGTTAACAAGTCAGGTTGAAAAATCAACAAATCTTTATTGTCTTGAAATAATATATATTTAAGGATCAAAACAGGTGCTAGTCTATCTCCTTCAAGTCTAACGTAGAGGACCTTATTGTACTGTATGTACCTTACTAACCCTTCACCCAGACTCTAGACAGTGAAGGGGTTGGTGGCTGAGCCAGTGCAGGGTACCCTGATGCCCAAGATGCTTCTGGGTTCAGAGCAGAATGGAGAAGCTGAGGTACACCAGGACCCTTCAGAGGACGGCACTGGGAGGCCTGGGCCACCTGCTGCCTCAGTGTGGGTGCTGCAGAAGGGCTTAGTATCTGTTCTGTGTAGCTGAGACAGGACAAGGAATGGCCTCGTAAATCACGCTTCCAAGCCAATCTTCGGTTCACATTTACCTTAACCATGAATGTTTACTTGTCAGTTTTGCTTACTTTTTGGTTTCCTGTGTTTTTCTCTTAGAAGGAGTTCCGATTTCTTTGCTGCTAACAAAAACTCTGTCCTCTGCAAAACCAGAGTCAGTGTCCGTGGCACTGGGCTCTGTCCTTGGCTTGCTGTGTGGGAGACTGCAGTATTGATCATGCCCAGAGCAGGCTGTAAAGAGTTAACCCACAGTTGGCGTGTTCGAGGAGAGTTTGGCCAAAGCCTACATGCCCAAATTCCCTTCCCAGAGTTAAAACCTTCTTTACTAAAAAGACAAGGTTAATTATTAACTACAACCTGTATTTTGGCTGTTCTGTTCCTAATTCAAGAATAATTTGTCTCTTCCTTTATATGCCTGTATCATCAATATATCCATAGCAACTCCATGTAGCCCCTTTACCTCAATCTAACTATGATGTCACTGATAAATATTGTTGAGCCTTGCTTGCACGAGCATTCTTGAGTCATCCTGGCTCCCCATTTCTCTGTCTCTTTAATTCTGCCTTTGAGTTTTTCTTTAAACCTTACATGGTAGCATTGAGAAGGAGAGTGAAACCCGCTGCAGGGTCTCTGACATTTCTGTGTCCGGTTTTGGCAAGAATTCTGCTGGGTCAGTTTAATGGAATTCGCTGCCTCAATGTCTTACGGATTGCTCATCTCACCCTGCATAGCCTTATGCTTCTGGCCTGCCTGCAGCAAGAATCTGCCAGTTTGGGTTTAGTCAGAATCCTCCCTTCTCCCTGTTTCCCTTTAGAAACTTTCTAGCTGATCCCCACCTGGTCTTCACTCTAAATCCCCACTTGTCTTTGTATTTGGAGTTGAGCCAGGTTTCTCTCCTCTTGTAAAACCCTCATTGTGGTAATCCCCCTTGAGTAAAGGCATCCTTACTGTCTTTGACAAGTACCATAAGAATGGGAGTGTTAACACTGTGCAGAAGGGAATGGGCTAGAAGACTGTTTCTGAGAGATAGTAGGTGACTGGTGACTGTAGACCCAGCTCTTGTGAAGGGTTATTTTAGGCAGAACCTCTCCTCCCTGGTTTTCCTTTCTCAGTTTGCTCCTTTTTCTAATCTCCTTTCTGTACTTGAAAGAAATTAGATGGCAATTTCCTCCAATCTAGGCCATTCCACCGGACATGTATATTGTATTTATAGGATCGGATGATGTTTGTATGTGAAGAGCCTTTTTAAAAGGTACTGTTTGTGATTCATCACCTGTCTATCTCTGCTGCTTAAATATCGTTGACATCTCTGCATCATACCCTTGCTGGTTCAGATGACTAGAATACTCTCTCCACTATTTTGGGTTACCTAAAGTCTAATCATCTTTCAAGGTTGATCTTACTGTTGGATTAGTACATTCCTGGTGTCCATCTTGGCAGAAATCAGTGTTAACATGGTGAGAAGAACCTGAAATTTGGTAGAAAGACCATAGTGTCTATTGGTGGGCAGCTGATTTGCCACAGACTGGGAGATTCTCCTTCTAGTTATAAAAGCAGAAGGATGTTTAAGGAAGGCATTTCCCCAATGACTGTTACAATCTGACCTTGGATCTTATTATTCCCCTTGTTCTCTTATATTTTATAGCAGGATTTTTCAAAAGCAGCACCTAATTTTTTGAGTTGGGTAATTCTTTGTCATGGGAGTTGTCCTCTGTGTGGGGGATATTTGGCACCATCCAGGGCCTCAACCCTAGATGCCAGTAGCACTCCCCTCAGATGTGACAACCAAAAGTGTATAGAGACACTGCCAAATGTTGGGGGAGAGGAAGAAAGATGGGAGGGTGATGCTGCACAGTTGTTCTTCATTGAGAAACAATCCCCCAGCCCCCTGCAGGCACCATTAAGTTCTTCTGTTTTTCTTTCCCTGCATACACCTGTATATACAATGCCTTTTGCCTTCTTCAGTTTGTAGTCTTCTACAAACTGTCTTCAAGGTCCATTTCTTTTGTGAAGCTTTTATATCACTCTGACAAAATTGTATTGCTCTTCCTTTGTGCTCCCATGTGCAAAATAATTGTTTATCAAGTGAATAATCTGGATAAAATTCCCTCTGTATGTCAACCATTATGCTGTGTTATAGGGATATGGTAATTAAGAAGATAAACATGATTTCTTGTCTTGTATGGCTTATAGTCAAGCTTATTATTTTATTTGCAGCTGCTGTATAGACTGTACATTTCTGAAAGACAGAGACCAGGTGTTGGGTCTTACTCATTCCTGTATTCCCTAACTTCTTATATTGTGGTTGGCACAAAATTAGTCTTCATAAATATTTGGTGAGTAAAGGAAATAAATGTTTTATTCCCCTCTCTGCATCTGCACTTCTGTTACTGTAATTTAGGCACCACATTGCACGGACGAGCCCCTGTCAGGTTGCAGGTGGCATGTTCTAACTGTATTTGTCCCCGTCTGATCCCACCTTCCACGAAGACGACAGGATGGGCCACAGCACCGTAAATCTTCCTCCTCTGCTTAAAAGTCATCAGTGCTTCCTTTTGCGCCCAGTAATATTACTGGGTCTGTACTATTCCAGCTACTTCATACCTTGTGCTTCTCTCCAGCAGCTGGAAGCCCTGTGACTCTAAAGTACAGTACTGTTCCATACCCTCAGGGCATTCTCATCTGTCTATGGTGTCCTCTCTTCTACTAGGTAACTCTGACTCACCTTTTTAGATTCAGGCCAGGGATTGGTTCTTTGTGAAAGCCACTTCTGAGTCAGCCACCTGACTAGGTTGGATGTTCCCATCTGTATCCTGTTGTACCACTGTTTATTTCTAATATTTCATAGTTGACTGTTAATGGATCTGCCTTATTAGTTCTGCAGTGATTTTTCTTGAGAGCAGGAATTATATCTGTCTTCATTATTATTGTTGCTGAGACAAAATGCTGACACCTTAAAATTAAACCCAGAAAGGTTTATTGTAGCTTGCAGTTTGTAGAGTTTTCAGTTCATAGTTAGGTGGCTCCAAGGCAGGGTGGCATGGCAGAGGGCATCATAGAGGAGAAATCATTCATGGTAGGCAGAAAGCAGCAAGCAGCAAACAGCGAGTGACCACAGCAGAAACTGTGCTTTTAAAAACTTTCTTTCTGTCCCTTATATTATTTCAGGCTACCCACCCTTAGGATATTCATGCCCACACCCAGAATGGACCTTCCCATTTTCTGCACTCAGAACTATGCCAAACCAGTCAGTGGACTAATCAGAAATCACATACCCTGAATCCCAGTATCACATACCCTTGATCAAGCCAGCTCTGAAAAAGCCCCCCCATATGACCACATGAGGCTTTGGGGATATATCTAGACACAAGCCACAACAATATCTTACTTGTCTTTGTATCCCATGAGTCTAGCACAATAGCTGAAAAGTGGCTGGCACTTGGGTAATGTTTGAATAAATGTGTGAATGAAAAGCTTAGGAATAGGAGCTCATATTTAAAGAAGTTTCCAGCAAAGACTCTTAATTATTTTATTTTTTCATTCTGCAGATATTGGCATCAACTTGACAGATCCTATGTTCAGAGGAATTTATAGAGGGATTCAAAAGCATCAAGGTAAATGTTCCTTTTATTAAGATGAACAGTGTCTTGATAAAGACACATTTTTGTGCCTTATGGAAGTCTCGAAAGGTAAAATCCACTCTTAAATGTTAAAGAACTCATTACACATCTTAGGTAAAATGGAAACATGTACAAGCTATATTGGTAAACTGTAATCACGAACATTTATAAGGCACCTGTTACAGTAGTTTTAATTCAGCCCTTCTACTGATCTGTAAAAGTTTATAATTTTGAGTACAGAACTTTAATCATATGCATAAGGCGAAGTAATAGTCTCTGTGTTAGGCAACTGAGCAATTGGGCATGTAATCAGAAATCACTGTACAGCATCAGTTCATCTAGTTTTTCAAAAACATTTTCACCTGTGTGCCAGATTAGCGGTGTGACTGAGTGGCAGGGCACTATTGTGCCCTTCTGTCCCTTTCCACTATGTCTCACTCAGAGCCATACTGCCTCTGCTGTATTATATGGGACTAAATAATAGTTCTGTAAAGTGAGAGAAGGCTCATCCAAAAGTAAAATGGGTGTTTTTATCATATGAGTAATCTATACTATAAAGCCGCTTCTATTTTTTTTCTTTTTTCTTTTTTCTTTCTTTTTGTTTAGCTGAGGGAGGTAGCTAAACAAGGAATGACAACAAGTTTTTAAAAGCATAATTTCTGCAATATACTAGTCTGTGAATATTGCCTCAGAAAACTGATTATACTCATTATATAAATTCAAACAGGAAAATTTGTTTTTTACCATTATGGATGAAATAAAACTAATTTTTCAACAAGCTAAATTAGAAACTAATCTTATTGTGCTCTTAAGTGAAAGCTTTTCTAAATATAGGGAATGTTAAACGCCACTTGAAAGTAGGTAAATATTTTCTCAAGACTTACCTCACCATTTACCTTTGTTGCTTCATTTATTTGATGGTGAATTTTGGATGATATTTTTATGTAACATTTACATAGTACCGTTGGGCTGTTGGGTAAATTATATTTACTTTTCTTGCCTTTGTAGTGCCTTATTTCATGTTTGTGATTCTATTGTATTTATGAAATGAATTATTATCAATAACAGTATTACTAGTTATAATTTCTCTCAAACTAGTTGCTGTATTGAGTAATAAGTTAACTAAAGTTAATGTTTTCTAAAAGAAATTTTATAACTACTTTAGGAGTAATAGTAATTTAATTATAATCACATTTACTCTCATACTTAAATATGAAATTAATACGTGGATTTTTGTAATACTGTAGTTTTACTGTTGATTCATTTGTGGCCTCTCAGAACTTAATCATTAATATTGATTTCCCCAGAAAAGTTTATTGTTACTCAACAGTGAATTAGCAAAAAACAACTGTCACGTGAAACAGAAAACATCTTTCTTTAATGAGAATAGTAGTGAGAGAAATGCAGCATTAATTGAATTTTTTCTTTTTTGGTTCTGGGAATGGAACCCAGGGCCTCAGGCACATGAGGCAACCATTCTGCCTAGTGGCATTCTGGCCCATAGTGACATTATAAAGAAGTGTTAGATTTTGGGACTCATTGCAAATATGCTTAGTAAAGCCCTGGTAAAAATAATCTTAATTAAGGCTGGAGATTTAGCTCAGTGGCACCATGCCTGCCTTGCAAGCACAAGGTCCTGACTTCGATCCCTGGTACCGCCCCCCCAAATAATAATAATCTTAATGATTATTTGCTTTCTAAAAAATACAATACTTGTGTTTGCTTCTGCAGCACATATACAAAAAAATACAATACCAACAAGTGGGCATGTGACTCATTGTAATTAGTGAACCTTTAGATGTTGTCACTCTCTTTTTGGTCAACAGAATAAAAATACAATTGAATTAATTCTCCTGTTTTTGCCTTGTTTCTTTTTTCTTGGAGGTCTTGGCAAGCTCTCATCTTACATGACAAAGATTTTTCAAGAGTATAGATATGACTAGAACATATGATTATTTCTATGCATTTTTATTCAAGAAGAGAAAATCCTAGATAAGTGAATTTTTTTTTGAAAGAGTGGATTTTATTTTTGCTTTCTATTTTTTCTCATTGAGTTTATTGGTACATTTTACGTATACAGTACGATAAGTAAATTTTTACTTACCAGGTTTTCTTAATATCTGGCCTGTTCTGTACAGATGACTTAAAGGATGTGATAGAGAGAGCTCTCCGGGTTGGTGTTAAAAAGGTAACATCTGCTTTTTGTTTTTCTTCAACTTTTTGTTTTTATAATAAATTTTAATGAATGAGAACTCTGTAGAGAAAAAGGAAATGACCAGCGCCGCATACTTGGACATACATCATTTACATGTAATATTAGCAAATTAATAGAAGTAAAATGTCAGTATATTCTTTTCACAGCTGTTTAAATTACACAGGCCTTCCATGTGATCAGAAGTAGGTAAGTGGTAAAATCTGTTTGGGAAAAAAAAAAAGTTTAAGGCCTATATAAAGTACTGGGTTTCTTAAGAGACAATTTTTAATAAAATTTAGCATTTGTTAAAATAGGCAGTCTGGAATCTGTCCCAGGTTCAGTTTTTGGATATACCATTTCCGACAACTGAGATGATATTCTAATTTTTAGAGAGTTCTAATAAGCAAGGGAATATTAATTAGCTCAGCATCAAAAAAAATTTTGGAGGGGTACCAGGGATCAAACAAAAAATTTTGGGGGTGGTTCTCAGGACCTTGTACTTATAGGGCAGGCATGGTGCTACTGAGCTACATCCCTCGCCCAGCATCAGATTTCTTTAAATTTGTTTTTAAAGTAGCAAGTGACCCCACATGTACACATAGCGAGCAAAGTTATATGCTGTAGTAACTGTTGGTTCTAAGTAGCTTCAGTTCTAAAAAATGACAGGGCTCACCAAGTTCTCCAGTCTTCAACTCCAAAACTGAATGTTATTGTTCACAAATAATAGAACAGGATAAAAGTCACAAAGTTCTCAGTATGAGGGCATCTTCTGGTTGGTGAATCACTTTAAACAGTGCTTTTTGCCAATGCTAAAATACCTAAAGTTTCGTGTGAGTCATGGACAGTTTAATGTTAACATTTCTAATTACACAAACAGATGCACACATACAACTCGGGGATGACGGCTGGTGTGAATGTCACTTGGGTGTGGTCCCACGGGGGAGGTTAATTCAGTGCCTCGAAGGGTTATTGCAGTGTCATAGGCCTGAGTGCCCGTCCCAGCCTTGACTTCATGGCGTGGTAACATGGGCTATTTTCTCTCTCTAGATGGTAGTTTTCCTGTCCATAGAAAGGAGTGACAGTGGTACTTAATTGACAGAGCTGCAGTGAGGATTCAGTAGAACACTGAGTGCAGAGCATTTGGTGTCGCACGGGCATTAGCAGCCCTCGTGCGTGTGTGTGGGGGGTGCTGCCGTTGCCATGTTATCTTCAGTATTGCATGCTGCACATGAGTCTCGCAGGTATAGGTAAAGTAAACCGGCCTGATGAGAGGCTTTAGCATAACCGAAGTACTGGAGGTGAGCGGCTGGTTTGGTTTTAAAGATTAGACAATATTAATAAACAATCTTTCCTGCGCTTTTATAAGTACATCCTTTGTTCTCCAGGCGCCTGAGGACTGAGGTCTGGGGAATCTGCACTCAATGTCTAATCATACTAGGGGTTGAAGTTGCCACATGGAAAGGGCTGCTTCTCATTTGCAGGTCTACCTTTGTTTTGTATGTATTCTCTTTAGTGTGTGCCTAGAATGCATCCTTCATTTTAGCTTCATTTCATTGATACTCTTAAGTGTGCTTTAAAAAATGTCACTGTACTTAAATCACTTCTTTAGCAGTAGCGTGTAACTCAGTAGTCACCATCAACACATGGCTCTCCAGTGCCATCTTCATCTCCACTGACAGCAGAGATGGCACTGTACACATCAGGGGGACTCTAAGGCGATCTCTTAGAGGAATTTGCTTGTTTCCCAAGAGTCAAAAATTACCCATGGAGAATTGGTCAGAACATTATTAACTCAGCAGTTCTCAAGCTTTTCAGTCACAGAACCCTTTCCCATTCTGTAATATTACCGAGGCCCTCCAAAAGCTTTTGCTTATGTGTCTCTTACTGTAGTATGTGTTTTCAAATTTAAACACTAAGTATTTTCAATCAAACCATATCTCAGTTATAGTAAAAGACACATTAACCCCCTTCAACACACTCTCCCTCACTTCAGACATACTTAGCCCATTTTTTTTGCCACTTTCTGAAGTAGTTCTGGGAGTCCTCTTTCAGGATTGTCTTTAGTTGGGCTGTCATGGCTTCCAGAATGTCCTGTATCCATTCAAAATGTTTTATTATCTCTTGCGGTCATTTTGACTTTGGGGAAGGTCCAGAAGTCACATGGTGAATAAGGTGGTTGAGAACACACCAGTATTTACAAGCTTACCTTTCTTTTGGATGGCAGCCTACAGCTGCATTCACCACATTTTTGATCACACCCAGTAAAGACACTGAGGAAAAAGAATTTCCAGAACTGTTTCCAAAGGTGGTAAGAATGATCGCATACATGTGCTTGAAATGCAGAGGAGTATTTTGTTGTATTCTTTTGTTGTATTCAGATTGTTTGGTTTTTGAGACAGGGTCTTGCTATGCAGTCCAGGCTGGCCTTGAACTCACTATGGAGCCCAGGCAGGCCTAAAACTCATCCCAGTCCTCCTGCCTCAGCCTTCCAAGTGCTGGGATTACTTACAGGCGTGCACCACCATGCCCAGCCTCTTTCCCATCTCTTAATAACTGTGTTAAAAGCAGATTGCCGAGTTTGCACAGGCTGTTGTATCATACATCATATAGCCCCTGGAAGATCTCAGTGTGTACTTGTGATAGACTGAGAATGAAAAAAACAAGTAGTATCTTAGTGTTGTTTTGAGATAGTTCTGACCTTGTATACCCTTGGGAATTCTTAGACCACACATGGAGAACTGTTGAATTCTTCATCATTATTGAACTGCTGGCTTAGATGATCACTAATTTAGATTAACTAAATTCTAAATTTGCAATCCTTAAATATTCAGTCTTTGCATAACATGTGATCGGTGTCCTTAAGTACTAATAGCAAAGGCAGACACATAAATGTTGGGTTCAAACTTTTGATCTTCCCGCCTCAGGCTCCCAGAGTGCCAGCACCTCCAGCTGTGGGCATGTCGTGGGTGTGTAGAACAGCCAGGTACCACACTACATGGGGCTGATGTTTTAACTGAACTTTAAAAGCAGGGTGGCTGTGTGACAGACATTCAAACGAAAAGGTTTTGTGTGCTGAGGAAGTGACAGGAAGGATGTGTGGGCCACAGTAGCAATGCCGATGGCTTATTTTCTTTCTCTCCATTCAGTTTGTGATTACAGCTGGAGATCTGCATGACAGTAAAGAGGCACTGCAGTTGGCACAAACAAAAGGTACCCTCATATTACCTTTACCAAAAAATATGAACTAAGTGATGCTGAAGAAGTCTTTCTGAGAAGTGCTTCATGACTTAGACTCAGTAGGGCAGACAGGCTGATTGCAATGGGGCACGACCAAGACGATGCAGTTCATAGTGCTCGCTGAGGAGTCACCTGCTTGATATCCCGCTCGGTGTCAGCAGAGCCTGCGTTAGAACTTAAGTTAGTGAGAAGAGAGCCTGGAGCGTGATTTGTCCTCGGGTATTCCCAGTATGCAATCTTCACAACTTGAATTGCTTTTTGTTTACTCTTTAAACTAAAGTTGTGAGGGATCTGTTTATTAAATACTTCCGTTGTAGACCAGACACTCTCAAGGCCCAAGAGTACAAGTGATGACTCATGCACACTCCCTTCTGTGCTCACTTCACGTTCATGGATTTTACATGTATTTAAATCTTGAGTGTGTGGAATGGGTTAACAGAATCGTGGTTATGTGGAACGCCTTGTTTACATGCCTGATGTGCAAGACATTAAGGAATCAGGTTTTCCCCAGAATCTTCCAAAATTCAGATGTACTAAGGAAGTGGAGCTTGAGTCTGGCACCTTAGACCACTCAGCCACTCTGACACGCGTCCCCTGCAGTGCTAAGGACGGAACCCCCTAAGCAGCACTATATCCCATCTCCTTTTAGTTTTTTTTGTTTTTTGGTTTTTTTTTGAGGCAAGGTCTTGCTCAATTTCCTAGGCTGGCCTCAAACTTATGATCCTTCTGCCTTAGCCTCCAGAGCAGCTGCAGCCACTACGCCCAGACCGGCGTCTAATACACATTGCTCTTTAGGATATACTGACACTTTTTTGTTAGTGATTAAGGACATAAAAATAATCATTTTCTGAGGAGTTTGGGGTACATAAGAATATTTTCTTCCATACTCTTTGTTCCCGAACAGCAAAGGTTTGTGAAGCCCTGCTGGCCATCTTTACTGTTACCCAGTGAGTCCTCACAGCGCTGAAAGGCAGCCTCTCAGCTGGGTGTGGTGATGCACACCTGTAAATCCCAACACTGGGACAGAGGCAGGAGGGTCCCGGGTTGGGAGCCAAGCCTGGGCTCAACTTATGAGACTCTGTCTCACAGTAAAAAATGAAAAACAGAATAGGGCTAGAGATGTAGTTTAGCACGAAGGCCTGAGTTCCATCCTCAGAACTAGAAAGAAGGGAGAGAGGGTGAGGGAGGAAAGCTGACTCTTCATCTGCAGACCCCATAGCTCTCCTAGGTTCAGCCCTCACAAGCCAACTCAGCTTCTCACCTGTGCCCCTTACAGTGAGACCTGTGAAAGTATGGCCTCAGTGAAGAAAGAACACCCCCTTTCCACTTATTAAAGTAACTGCCACTATCCACCATTAATTACGAGTCACTTTTTATATTTTTAATATAATTAAAATACAGCCTTAAATTTTTAGACTGTACTAAATTCTGTTTATATAATTTTAAGTTACATTAAATAAATGAAATAAGACAGTCACATAAACAGTGAATATAAAAGACATAATTTGATGATAACATCTCAAGAAAGTGTTTCACTTTTCATTCTGTAATGCTCGGTGGTGTTAACACCAAGCTTTGGAAAGAGTAGAACTGTTTCATTAACACATTAAAGCAATTTTCATATTCATACCCTTCTTTCCTAAAGTATTCCCCAAATTCTTACATGAATGACAATGTAATCAGAGTAGTCTGGAATAGTTTATGGCATTTGTTAAAAACCATTTGTTGAAATTATTTGATATTCTCTAACTTATGCATGTTAAGTATAAATATTAAAAAGTATCTTGAAAATAACCCTAAGATTTTGGTTGTTGCTGTTAGATATGTTTTTCAGCACAGTTGGTTGCCATCCTACAAGATGTGGTGAATTTGAAAAGAATAACCCTGACATTTACTTAGCAGAATTGCTAAATCTTGCTGAGAACAATAAGGGGAAAGTTGTGGCAATAGGGGAATGTGGACTTGGTAAGTGCCAACGTAGCCGTTCAGGATGACTTCGCTTAAAAACTACTCATTTGTCTTACACAAGTGCTGAGAAATTATTCTTTTTTTTTTTTTAATCTTTTGAAGATTTTGACCGACTGCAGTTTTGTCCCAAAGATACTCAGCTTAAGTAAGTGATTTTTAAAATAATTTATCATGTGAATATGTAGTTAGACTAAGCATGATTATGTTTTTGTTTTTTTCCTCTGTATATCAAAAAATGAAACAAATTACATGCATAGCTGTGCATAATTCATAAGAGATGGAGACACAGTCCTTGAGTATCAAATTTGATTTGGTTTTGGTCAGTTTTGAGACAGGGTCTCCCTGTGTGGTCTGGGCTGGCCTCAAACAGTGATCATCCTCCTGAGCATGATTTTTTTTTAAATACTGGAGATTGAACCCAGCACCTTCTGCTTGTTAGGTTAGTGCTGTGCCACTGAGTTACATCCCCACTAATTTGACTTTAATAGTAGAGATAAAGAATGAGCTTTATTTGATAGAGGCATTGGTTGTTTTTTGTTTAACAAATAAAGTCATGTGAACCTGGAGTGAACTAGAACTAAACTTAGTTATGGATATGACTTAAGAGCAAGGGACATTAACAGGATTATAAGATCAGTCACTAAAGTGAGGAAGCCTGTTTTACTGTTGGAGCAGTGGAGATTGTTAGTTTGGAACAGTGAGAGCCCTTCGATAGGAGCTTTGCTAAGAGCAGTGGCTTCTGGGAAGATTAAAGCTCACAATCTTGGATAACTTGCTGTAGTTACTGCCTATGGCTCTTAGTTGGAGCTTCAGTCATCATAGGAGTTGGTCAGTGGGTTGAAAATAAGAATTGTGTCAGAGTCTTAATTTAAAACATGAATATTTTGTTGAACTTCAGAAGCTCCTTAATTATAAAGATAATTATCAGTTTATGAACTTAAAAGTCTTTCCATTATTCTAGTGGCAAACCAGATTGGACTAGACCCAAACCAAATTCAGTGGTTAGGTTCAGTGTTTACCTTATGGAGAAATTTTATTCAGTTCTTGTCCAGTTTAGTTTGCAACCAGAATCATGGAAAAAATTGAGTTCGTGAACCAAGGCACAACTTTATTCAAAAATCAGAATGAACTTCTGAAGGAGGTTAACTTAGTTATTGATACAACAAACTTTTATGGAGTGCTACTTGCCAACAAAGTACACTGTCTGTCCCTAAAGACCTTTATGAATAAACAAGCTATCTGTCTCTCCACGAGTCATCCTACCACCCACCTTTTAGTGCTGGAAATCAAACCCAGGGAAGTGCTCTACCCCTGAGCTACACCCCCAGATGTCTACCATAGTTGTTTCTTATATATAAAGGAGTTGAGTCACATTCTCTCTTAATATGACATCTAGCTCTATTACTTCATAATTAATATTTGTTATCTGGTTTTAATGAAGCCAGTGACTTGATGGCCAGAAGTACACCCCCAACACCCACTGTTTTGCCTTAAATAGGATCCTCATCTGCCCCTTGTTGAAAATCACTGTGGTAAGGAGCAGGTTTACTAATGGAGTTGGTAATGACCTAGACCTGAAGTGCTAGAATTTCTGAAGGGTGGAAATCTATAACCAAGTGGAGACAGAATAATGTTCTGTGGTCAGATTTTTTCAGGCCTTTTCTTTATGTGAATGTGGTATGTCCCTGCTGTGTTTTTCAGGGACAATCTTATGGCCACCAGCCTGGTTACTACAGCTTTGTGCCTTTTGAATACTATGTTATGAGTTCACTTAACTTTAAAGGTTCACATATTTACACTAAAACAGGAAGTGTTCCTCTTTGACAGTTTCTCAGGTTATTCCTCCACTTCCACCTCTGATTTTGGGCAGGACGCACCTTCTGAGTCACCAGCTGTATTAGGACAAGCAAGACAGCTGCAGAGTCCTCCATGATTTCTTGTCTATAGGGATTTTCTTCTAGAATAAATGAAAACTGATTCTGAAATGCACCCTAGTAATTTAAACTCAATTTGGGGTTACATGAAAGCACTGGTAATACTATATTTTATTGTTCTAAAGGTACTTACATCATCAGATCAAGATGGGAACTTAAAGCAGTATGCATAACAGAATAGTTTCTGCTGTAGCTCACAGAATGTCACTTGTCCAAGTGTTAATGTAATAGAGAGTTTGACCTCAGTCCATTCAATATTTGATTCCTGAGTACTTCCTCCATATGCTGCAAAGAAATATACAGCCAAGCTGGTGTGTGCCAGTCATTGCAGCACTTGGGAGGCTGAGGCAGAAGGAGCATAAACTAGAGTTCCCATCAGGCAACTTAGTGAGACCCTCTCTCAAAAGATAAAAAGAGCTGGGATGTAGCGTAGTGGTAGAGCATCCTTGGGTTTGAAACAACAAATTATGATATTTGGAACCAGTAGGTCTTTAGGTATGATTTTTGCCATTTAAAATCATGTACCCCTTGGTTCATCTCAGTTTCCTCGTCCTTAAAATGAAGATGATGCTACCTGTCTTAGCATGGGGTATATGAAGCCATAGTGGCTTGCCTGGCACAGAGTAAGTACTCTAAATTACAGCTGTTGTCTTATCGATCTTATTAGAAATATTACCATTCTGAAAGAAAATACCAGCTGTAATTTTTGGGGTTTTTGAAAAATACTTTTTAAAGAAAACAAAGAGAAGCAAAGGACATCGTCACTTGTCAGAAAGTTTATCCTTTGAGTCATACCTATATTTTCAATTTCTCTGCTCTTTACACTCTTTCTTGCTGCAAGTTAGAGCTCAGTTCTCTTGGAGTAGTTTTCTCTAGGCATTGTCTTGGGGCTTTAAAATGTTAATACCAGGTAAGTCTTTAAATAAATCAGATATAAGACACAAAATTTCACAGTGAACCACTGGCTCTAGGAGACCCTGGAGGTGAGAGATTGAGGCCATACTTGTCATCGGCCACTTTATAGCAGTGTGAGTCACTGGGTCTTTGATCCTAGTTAATAACAGTTGTTCAGGCCATTGTTCTTAGATAGTGTTGTCTCTAAACTGTAGGGAGCAGTGGTACAGTCTGAAACCAAAATGAGCAAATCCAGCTCAAGTGAAGACCAATACTCATTTATGAACTGAAAAAAAACCATAAGTAAGTACAACAGGTAGTGACTCCTCTTAGTAGAGGCCAGCTCTGCCCTAAAGATTATGTAATTTCTTGTTAAAGACAGAGGTCATTTGACATCACAGTGATGATACCCTTAGTTTGTATCTCTAGGAGTTGTTTTTCATTGTGTGGCTTCCTTGGACTCAGGAGCCTCTCCTTCCTCAAATTATGTAAAATTCCATGAGCACATTGCTTGGCCTTCTGTTTTTTTCATAAATAGTATGTTTTAGTACTTTTCTCATTGTTGAGACAAAATACCCAAAATCCAAAACTAAAAGAGGAAAGGTTTATTTGGCTTACAGTTTGTAAAGGTTTCAGTCTATAGTCAGCTGTCTCCAAGGCAGGGTGGATGGCAGAGAGGCATTGCCTGGCACTGCAAAGGAGAAATAGTTCATGGCAGGCAGAAGGCAGGAAACCAAGCAAGGGGACCGCAGCTCTTTCTGTCCCTTATGTCTTATCTTGGATTGGAGGACTTAGTGTGGGCAACACTCATACTCTTAATCGTAGTGCCCTTGAGCCTAGCATTGCACCATCAATCAGTCCCAGTGTCACACACTCTAGATCCAGCCACCTTTGAAAAGTCCCACCTATGATTGCCTGAGGCTTTGGGGGACATCTAGACACAGCCATAACACTATACTTTTGTATATCTGCCATAGAGTGCTAATTCCCAGATTGACCATTTGATTCTCTGAACTTGCAGCCTACAGCAGCAGTGCTGATTGATGAGCATAGCAGAGGCACTGTCGGGGGGGATAACGGAGCCGCGTACACTTGTAAATGCACATCCTGCTGAGAGTGCTGAACTGCTGACAGCTGGTCACTTCAGCAGCTAGGGACTAGTGGCTGAGTAGTCACTCAATCTTTCCTTCTCCTGAGTTGTCATTGATATTGCCTGCACTGCAGAAGGTCAGCACTTTGTTACCCTTGTCCAGCAGGATCTGAAAAGGTTACACAGCCAGAAAAGTCAGGCATGGTGGCTCATACTTGTAATTCCAGCCCTTGGGAGGCTGGGGCAGCAGCACTGTCACAAGTTCAAGGCCAGCCTGGGCTACATAGTGAGACCCTGTCTCAAATAAACAGACAAAATACTCATACCCAATAGATAATTAAGATATAAAGCACTAATTTCAGGAAGACTATTGTTTTGTTTTGTTGTTGTTTTGTAATGGGGATCAAACTCAGGACCTTGTGCTTGCAAGGCAGGTGAGGATACCACTGAGCTACATCCCCGCCCCTTGTGTTTTGGTTTTTTGAGACAGGTTCTCACTATGTAGTCTAGGCTGACCTTGAACTCACCCTGTAGCCCAGGCTGGCCTTGAAGTCATGGCAATCCTCCTGCCTCAGCCTCCTGAGTGCTGGGAATACAGGTGTGTACTACCACACCCAGCAGGAAGACTATTTCTTTACTAATTATATTTCTAGTATATTTCAATTTCTGATTTTAAAATTTAACATTTTCAGGAATACAAAGGGATATTCCAGGAAAACAATACTGCACATCGGAAAACGGCAATGAAAATATAGTAAAAGAAGTTTAATTTAAATAGAGAAATTGTTTCCCCAAATTAACCCAGGAGAGGTAAATGCACCTAGGAGAAGAGCACGTGGCCTGTGTGCTGGTTTCTGGTAGACAGACATGACTTGCAGTGGGCACGAGGGTGAGCGCCCTGTTGAAGGAGGCACAACCAGGGGGACACCAGGCTGCCCTCATGCGGGGGCGGGAGGGAGCAGCTCTGAAACATTACCACTCAGGGTTACTGAAGCTCTGCTCCAAGTTTGCCTGTCCTTATGGGCCTAGACAGCAAACTGCAGCTCCGCCCTGTCCTGGGATTTAGGGTCCTCTTGAGCAGCAAGTGACATACAGTATGTGGCACTTGGAAGAACTTTATCAAGTGCAGTTTATTATTTTCATCTTTTGAAAAATAGCTTAATTCAGTCTTGTGCTACTGGAGGTCTCCAACGTGGTACTACTTCTGTTCCAGGAGAACCCTTGTAAGTCAGATTCGTCTGTTAAGTCCAACAAAGTGAGTCTTATCTACCTTTCATGCAGAGGCAGTGCTTTATAGTGTAAACCCTGGTAAGTAAGCTACTTCCCCTTTTACAGTTGCTTGAAATAGTGGCACAGGACAGGGCAGCACCCGACTTCTGGAGGGCATGGAGTGACCTGATGGGAGGGAGACAGTGGGCCGACTCCTCCCATCTTTTCCTCTCGCTCCCTCAAGGCTTCCAGACACCTTGGGCTCTTGAGTGAGTGCTGTACATTGAGTGCACAGCAGCATAGTGGCAGATACGGGAGCTGCTTCCACCATTTGTCCACATCTCTGTAACTTGAGGTTCGTTGCTATCTGTAAAAGTTCACAGCTGGAATGTTTGTAAGCTGGGAACTTACTGTACTTATTTACCAACTACTTGGCTTTAGGTTTCAAGGGTACCCTTGTTCTTCTTGTGAAGTGGTGCTGCTTTTATAATAGCACATGAAGAACTGGTTGCATGCCAGGCACAGTGGCACACGCTTGTCATCTCAGCTGCTCAGAAGGCTGAGTCTGGAGGATCACAAATTTGAGACCAGGCCGGGCAACTTGGTAAGACACTGTCTCAAAATGAATAGGACAGGATGGACAGGATGGGGTGGGACAATGTGGGCAGCTCGGCTGGGGGTGTAGCTCACAAGTAGAGCACTTGACTGGCCCCAGGTTCAGTCCCTTGTACCACAAGAAAGACTTGTAATCCCACTAAATGCCGTATCCCTTTTCTTAAACTGTGTTTAAAACCCTCTGCTATGCCTAATATATTTTAGCATCTGAATTCAGTTTTGTTGCAGCCATTTCTATAGAATAAGATTCCTTTAATTTAAAAAAAATCATTTATGTATGGGATTTAGCTCAGTTGTGGAACATGTGGCTAGCATGCACCAGGCCCTGGGTTCAATCCCTGGTGCCACCAAAGAAAAAGAAAAAAAAAAGTCTTTTGAAAGAATTAGCTTTCTCATGCTAAAATAAAGTTTACTGAGGAAATTTTTTAACATATGCAGATATTTTGAAAAACAATTTGAACTGTCAGAACAAACAAAATTGCCAATGTTTCTTCATTGTCGCAACTCACACGATGAATTTTTGGGTGAGTTTAAAATAAAATTCTCATTTAAAATTTAAGAATTTTACAGAAATCTAGCTACTTGCTAAAGGTGTTTTCTGTTAATTTACAGACATAATGAAAAGAAATAGAGATCGGTGTGTAGGTGGAGTGGTAAGTATAAAAGTTGTTTAATATATGGTATTCAAAAATGGCTTGGTTATTAAGGTTGGCTATAAAGTAATTCACATGTTAGCAATAATGTTACTAAGTTCTATCATTATTTGAAGAGCATATATGTTTACTGTTGGATTTATGGGCCAGATAGAGGACAAACATAAACTGTTCTGATATATTTTTGTCCAGAACACAACGAGTACAGAATTATTGGGGAGGTGAGATAGGGTCTTGTTATGTAGTTCCAGCCTCGTGGAACTTAACAGCAATTCTCCTTCTTCAGCCTCCCGAGTGCTGGGATTACAGGCATGTGCCACCATAGCCAGCAAGCATGAGTACAGAATTCTGTTCCCAAGAAAATCCCATCCATGTGTGTACTTGTATACGTCTGACACTGTGAAGTTTTTGTATCTTCTATTAGCCATTCTTTAATGTTCTTCAACTTAAATTGTGAGGAAAATATTCACTGATTTTTATAGTATCTTGAACTGACTCATCATGTTTCAGGTTTGCCTTCCTAACTTCTCATCACCTGCGTTAGTTTCTCTTATTACTCTGATCTAGATATACTTCTTTCTGCCATTTGCATTCTGCAGTCACTGCAGTCAGCAGTCTTCAGATATTTCTCATACATATTATCTACACATCTCAGCTCAGGTATCTATTGTGTAATGCTTTCTAATCTTATTTGAGTCATGGACTCTTGAGAATCTTCCTTAGAAAAATGCTCAGATACAAAGATTTTCATACACATTTTCAAGCAACACTCATTGACTATTTCTATCCATAACGTTGCTTGTGGGTCTATAAAACAGTTATACTATGCCAACCAAGGACAAAGAAAGGCCTGCACTGCCTTGCTGTGACAGTTTCATATGGGTGTTCCACAGCACTATAATTTGTATGCGTTATGTTTTGCAGTGGTGTTAATGTGTACATTTCCTCTGTAGTTTCCTGACTCTAATTTAGCCTTTAGAAACTACTTGGGCCTTGAGAAGGGTTTTAATGAATACCCTTGTCATTACTGGTGGCATTTATTATAACATTCAGACTCCACTTCAAATTCATTTGCTTTATTTCCAAATAAGACTTTATTTGGGCTTGGCATGGCAGTGCCTGCCTATAATCCCAGCTACTGTGGAGGCTGAGGCAGGAGAAGTACAATTTCCAGACCAGCCTGGACAATTTACAGGCACCCTGTTTCAAAATCAAAAGGGCTGGGGATGGAGCGCAGAGCTCCCTGGGTTCAGTCCCCAGTACCACAATAAATTAATTAATTAAAAATTAAAATTGACTTGGATGACTCTGTAGTAATTAAACTTTTAAAACATTATTTTTATCATTAAAAGTTGCTATACAAAGAGTAATGTCTGAAGTGGTTTATGAAGAATCACATTTTAAATTATTTGGATATGAATGGAGGCTATGTTTTCTAGTCTGCTGGAAATGGTTAGGGCAAGAATAATTGCCTTCAGGCAGCTAACACAGAGTGTTGAGAACATTACCCACTTGTGCTCAGATTGTCTGGCCTTAGTGGTAACAGTGTCACTTGGTAGGTGACCTCCTTTTGTGAAGTAGTCTTGTTATTGTTTACTTTGCAGTACATAAATGCGCCCAAAGTATGAACAGCTGTTCCTCAGTCTTGGGTTCGTGAAGGTGAAAAATGCCATCTCAGCTCTTCTGCCTGCTAAGCTGATATTGTTGACTGTGTATCAGTTTACATTTTGAAGCAGCATTCTCACAGCTTCTTAAATTGCCTAAGTCATTTCTATTCTAGAAAAAATATCCTGTAACAGAACAATTCAGTAAATTTTCAGTATGTTTTAAATGGTGTTACAGCATTTCCACCTTTTCCTCCTGCTTTTGCCTAATGCCATACTTTTGAAACACTGTGATCCAGGATTTTTTTTTCTTAAAAAGTCTTATCCATGTTACTTATAACTTTAAAGGTTAACTATTATAATAATAACACCTGTGTGTCCCCTAGGTACACTCATTTGATGGTACCAAGGAAGCAGCAGCTGCTTTGATTGACTTGGATCTCTATATAGGATTTAATGGTTGGTACGTCATCAGGTTGTTTTTGTTAACTTTTATATTAAACATTCATAAATGATTTTACAGTGAACCACTGATAAAGGTTTATTTTTATTAAAGTGTTTTGTATTGATCTTTGCTTGAGAATCTCAGTAATTATGTAGGAAATTAAAGAATACTATTACAAGCAAGCTAAAGCTTCAAAATTACAGAGTACTGCCCTCTGTTCTGATAACAGAAACAGTTTATGTTGAATTCAGCAGCTAGCTTTTTCTGGCAACTCAGTTTATTCTCAGGTCGTTTTATGCCTTTGAAACATATATGTTCACAGCATTGTGTATAGCTGTACACAGGATACAGGCCAGGGAGAAAGGTTATTCTGTGGCAGTCATTTATATATTTCTGTAGGCCAAAATTCTGAGGCTGAAAGAAGAAACAGGTGTAAAGTTACTCCCAGGGGAGAATGTGTCCCTTGGCTCCTGCGTGGTGACCTTTCTACTGTAACACCACCGAGACCTCACTTAGTGCAGTCACTAAGTGGCCAGGGCCTTACGCTTCTTTTTTGTCACATGTCAGAGCTTCCACCGGGACCTTTCATAGGATGTCAGAGTAGTGTAAGGCTTGCTTTCTTAGTCACTTTCCATGTTGCTGGGACAAATACCTGACACCTGCAGCATAGAGGAAGAGAGTTTTTCTTGGGCTCAAGGCTTAGAGGTTTCAGTTCATAGTTGGCTGGCTCCAAGGCAGAAGCAGCATCATAGAGGGGTGTGCTGCAGAAGACAGCTGCACACGTCCTAGCAGGGAGGAATCAGGTTGGGGTGACAGCACCCTCCCAGGTCAGCCTCCACTCAGCTCCCCAGTGAATGAGCCCACCATGAGTACAGGCTGTGACCCCGCCACCTTCTGAAAGTCCGCCTCTGAGTACATGAGACTTTCCCTCATCTGTTTCATTTCCTTACAGTGATCATTTCTGATTGCATATTTTTGGCTAAACTTTTAGGGAAATAGTCATGGAATTATTTTTTAGTGCTTAAGATACTTCATATTTAAATTAGTGGTTAAATCAGTTTATAAGTAAATATTCAAAGGAGTAATGATTAAAAAGTCAGGAAGCACTGATTTACAAGCAACTATCACAGCCCCCCAGCACGTGCCCCAGCCCCAGAGCAGCTTTTTCTGAGGCAACAGCTTCGCTTTATCCCCATGGATAGTATGCATGTACCATCAGCTCTCGACTGATCCATCTCTTCTCATTGAGCTGTATGGCATTTTCGTTCTTATATCCCATACTAACTCCCACCTCTGTACTCCTTCCAGTAGTTATTTCAAGCTTTTTGGCTTTATGCATATTTAGTGTTTTCATTATGTCTATAGATGTTGACTGCTGGCCCATATGGTGTGCTATGCCTGTGTTTCTTCTACTGCTTTTTGTTTTGGAGTAATTCTGTGGTGGTTAGGGTAGGTCAACTCGATTGGCTTTGAGATCTGCCCCCGGGGCAAGGGACTGGTGAAGCACATTTCTGAGAGTATCAGAGTGGGTCATGGAGGCCCAACTTGAGGGGTCCAAATCCGGCCCTTCCTCGCTGGTGTTGCTCTTTTGCTCCTTCCCTGCTGCTCTGAATTAAGCAGCTTTGTTCTACCCACACCCTTAGCCATTATGTTTCTGCCATGGATTCAGGCAGCCTTGTACTTGAAAACCATGAGCCAGATTAAACCTTTCCTCCTTTAAGTTGTAGGTGTCAGTTGTGTCCCAGTTAACAGGAAAGCTAAAATACTCCCTCTGTGTGTGTGTGTGTGTGTGTGTGTGTGTGTGTGTGTGTGTGTATCTGTAAAAGAGAGACTGGGGATTACACCTGGGGGTGCTCTACCCTGACTACATTCTCAAGCCCCTCAGCTTCCCAAGTAGCTGGCATTATAGCAGGTACCATCATGAACCTCAAATATTTTTATTTACTTGGCTTTCTTTAAAAGTTGAAGCTCACTCGTACTGTGTACTGCTCTGTGAAATGCATTCATCTGTTTTCCCCATGAGGAAACCTGTCTAGGAAGTTTCAGTTCTAGACCCTTCTGTCTTTGTTTCTGTTTGGACTAGTGGGTCTTTTCTGATACAGCTCCTATTTTTAGACCCCATGTTTTCTGTTTGTTCTAGGGGAAGAAATTGTCCATAGGAAGTGTATTTTATTTTAAAATATTTCTTTGTTTGAAAATTAATGTATTCTATTCTTCCTCACGTTTGCTTGGACAGTTAATGAAAGGGAGAGGGAACCTACTTTTGGTTGTTAGTTTTCCTAGGCATAAAATTCAATATAGTCATTTTCACTGAGAATTGACGCTGTCCCATCAAGTCAGTTCTGGTGGTGCTTGCCCTGTGACCTGCTTTCTTTTCCTCTGGAAGATTGTAGTTCTTTATGTTTGGTATTACGAAATTCACAGATGTCTTCTCATGCTTTGTCTTCTTGCTGGCCCCTTCCAACTAGAGGCTCGTCTTTGTCAGTCCTGGAGAATTTTCTTGATTTTTTTTTTTTAAACATCTCAGATTGATAACATAGATACTATCTTTTTATTCTACAATTTATGTGTATTTATTTTCTCCTTCTTCCAAAAAAGTGCCTTATATTTTAATGTTTTTATATTTGCTTTGGTTTCTTTTTGGGGGGGGGTACTGGCATTGAACTTGGGACCTTGTGCTTGCAAGGCAGGTGGCAGAACCAGAGCTCAAGCCCAGCCCTTAACCTTTTTTAGTAAGTAACTTTGGCATGAGTCTGTGAAAGCTCTTATTTTTTAGTATCATTATCTTGATAGATGAAGTTATCTTCTTCTTTCTCTAAAGATAGGAACTGCAGTATAATTGCTTTATTAGTTCCTCTTTCCTCTTTTGGTTTGTCATGATGGGCGCTTTCCTTAAATGTCAGACAATCCTTCACTGTCTATTTAAAAGACAAAAACAACTGTTTGGAAACTAGTGAGAGTCCATCAACTGGCAGGCTTAGATGGTCAGCTGACTGTTCCACTGGGAATTCCCAGATACCATTTTATACACATCTTTTTTGGGTTGATCCAGTTCCTTCAGAAAGGCATTGTTTGGTCCCAGCTGGAAACGCAAAGTAGGGATTTCTGATTGTGCCGACAGTGCTGTGGAGCAGAGGAGGATCAGAAAGAAGATTGCTGTTCAGGCAGCAGTCACTCTTCATTTTCAGCCCCATGTTTCACCCCTCCTCTGGTATGTGCTGGTTGTTCTCCACCAAGTCTGATTTAGGTTCATTCTCTGCCTCTGTCTCCCTCTCCCTCTCCTTTCCTCTCTCCAGATTTCTTCTAGGTACCTAGTTGTTAGAAATGTCTTCAGTGGTTTGGTTTGCTTGTGTTTGGTCTCTCTGCAGGCACATAGCATTTAAGTCATTTTAACACTTAAAACGTGACATTTGTCATTTCTCTATCACCTCCTGCTTTACATGTTATGATTCAAGGTAACAAATATTTACTAGTTTGATCAAAAACTCCTGTTGTTTTCACCTTGACATTCTGGGTGAGGAGGTTTCAAGAGAAGACAGTAAGATTAGTAGTTGCCAGAGATGTAGAGGGAGGGAGAGATGAACAGGCAGAAGAGAGGGGTTTTAGACACTGAAACCACTCTGTGTGATACTGTAATGGTGAATACGTCATTTGTCCAAACCCATGGAATTACTAAACTCTACCATAGGTCATGTTTTCATTCTGGGGGCTCAGAATTGAAGAGGTAACAATTGCTCAGTGTGCCATCCAAACAGAAAAGTACACAGCCTGTGGCCATATCATCCCATCCTGTGAACTCAAAGCAAGTCTGGAGGCAAAGGCTAGAGTCCAGAGCAGAGTTTATCCATCCCACTAAGAAACAATGGCAGGGTACCGATACTTTTATTACAGAAATTTTATTAGAGAACAGCAAAGAATTGGGAGCAGGAAACCTGCCTCAGAGACTGAAAATGAAAGTTAAGAACCTCTAAGTTATGCAAGTAAGTTCTTTTTTAAAAGTTTATTTTTACTTAAACTGATACAGAAAGCCTATTGAAGAATCAACTGACTGATAAGCATGAAACATTACATCTTCTAAAGGCAGATCTGGTTGGAATTATCAATCTGGAATCTGAGGAATGTGTAATATACTGACAATGTATTATGGGGTTTTGAGTTTTGTAACTTGTATTAAACACGATATAAAAAAGTTATTCACTAAATGCTACCTTAAAAACTAAATGTACATTTCTTTTAAAGCTCACTGAAAACTGAGGCTAATTTAGAAGTTTTGAAGTCAATACCTAGTGAAAAATTAATGATTGAGACAGGTAAGTTGAAGTGTTCAGAACTTTTAAGTTTCATGTTAAACTAGTACCACCCCCCCCCAAAGGAAGGTGACATCAGGTTTACTGTTAAATATTTTTAAATAGTATGTTCAACATTTATATTTTTCAAAAGACTTTTGGGGGTTTTTACTGAAGTATTTATGCAAGAGATTTTTTTTTTGTACCGGGGATCGAACTTAGGCCCTTGAGCTTGCAAAGCAGGCCGCAGAACCACTGAGCCAAATCCCCAGCCTATTCAAGAGATTTTTATTTTCAATTTTATGTTTGTCTAAGCCTAGAAACTTAAAAAATGTCAGAATCTGTAATAACTAAGGTCTTTTAGTTATTCCTAATAAAGGAGTTTTGACCAAAATTACACTTCAGGGTTTCACAATCATTTTTTTTTTTTTTTTTTTTTTTTGGTACTGGGGTTGAACTCAGGACCTTGTGCTTGCAAAGCAGGCAGTGGAACCATTGAGCTACATTTCTGGCCTTCAAAGTCTTTTTTTACATGTCATCTTCTTTATAATGATTTAATTCTGTAGTATTTTTTAAACTGCAAAAATCAAATTGTTTTTGTATGTTAGACTCTGTTCCCTTTTAAAACAGGGTTAAAAGCGAAAACTTTTATCTCTAAATCTTGTAACTCAAGGTGTTTATATCATGACCTTTATAAAGCCCAGATTGAGGTACTCTGGAGACATCAACTGTATTTCCTTAGGCAAACATGAAATTGAAGTAGATTAAGTACAATGGTTGTAAAATTTGTAAGCTATTATGATTAAAGAGATATATATTTAAAGCCACTGTTTCATATTCAATAGAGATAATATAGAAACATATTAAATATTTTTATGTTCCAATTATATTTTTAGGCTAAAGATTTTTTTAAAGCAGACATGTTATCAACAATGTTAGCAGAAAAAGTTGATTCTTACTTACAAAGCATTTAAGATGCAACTGAGGATTTATCTTGTGCTTTCCTTAGAATTGTTTTCTATATAGCAAAAAAATGGGCAAGCTGATTTATGGGTTGTAAGTTACACATTATATATTATTTGCTAAGGTTCATAAAAATTTGAAAACATAGACCTCTAAACACTTTTATTTTTGCCTAACTGTAGATGCACCTTGGTGTGGAGTCAAAAATACACATGCTGGATCAAAATATATAAAAACTTCATTTCCTACCAAAAAGAAATGGGAAAATGGGCATTGTTTAAAAGACAGAAATGAACCCTGCCATATAATGTAAGTGTTTCTCTTTTATGATCTTCAGAATCACAGTAAGCAATCACCAAATGCCAATTAATGAAAAATGAACTCTGAGGGCAGAACTTGTTTTATGAAATTAATTTCAAATTAAGTACAGGTCATTCTAACGAGTGTACATGCTGAATGGTAGAACTAATGAAACGATACCCACTCACACATCATCATAAAAATTCAGGTCAAAGACCATCTCGGTAATGATTTAGAGGAATTTGCACCTGAATTGCTCTATCTGGGATCCTAGCTTCACATCCTTTCAGTCCTGGGACTTTGCTGCAGCAATGAGAAATCTTGATTTTGGATTGGTTGTCATTCTGCAAGAGGGAAGAGATCCTACAACTATCCTTACAATCACCTTACCTCATCTAAGTTTATTCTCATGTACCTTCTCTTCTGCTGTTTGTAACCAGTTAGCCTTAGCATTTTAAGTAATTCACAACCTGAATAAATCAAGGAAATGACACATTTCTTTGGAATATGACAAAAGACAGGGTTTCCTTTTTACCTTCACCCCCAAAAAGGCTGAACTTTATAACACATTCATTAAAAATACTGGGTTACCTTAAGACTGCCAATTTTCAAAACGCACCATCTTTTTCTTTAATAATGAGTATTAGATAGCCAGATCTAAAATTCAGCAGGCAGAAAAACTGAGACTTATCCTATAAAAATTGAGAGGTTCTTTTCCTTTATGAATTGTTGGCTCTGCCAAAGGCTTTAAAATTGAATGCTTTAAGGTCCATAGAGAGGAATGTTTTTATACTCTGGTTAAAGGAAAAAAAAAAATCACATAATTTTTATAGAATACAGATGCTTGCAAATTTAGTCAGAAGACAGTATAGTATTTCTAATCATTTTTCAGAGATCTAAAAGGACATTGGAAATGAGAGGCTAGTATTTTGCTGGCAGCCAGACTAGAGGGAGTAGTTGCTATGAAGTGTGTCCACATCAGTTTTCTGTATTTTCTTAATTGTAGGTAAAGTTACAGCTGTTCACTTTAGTTATACTAACTCCTACTTACAAAAGTAATTTGCCAAGCTCCATTCTGTTAGTTTTACATTGTAATGATTACATAGAGGTCTTACTTCCCTTTTAGATTATAAATTCCTTGAGACATTTTGGAGTTCCTTACACATCAGGAAAGGTACAGATTACTAAGGCTACAAGAATCAAGACAGTCCCTGTGCTCACCCACCTACAACACAAATGGGTTCCCTGTGCCAGGCTTTTGGGTGAGGCCCTCAGTTAGACATTGGCCCCCTGCATCCTGAAGCAAACAATTAGATAACCTATAGTCTGAGACAGTAAAGCTGTTACAGAGGTATGAATCTGTCTCTGGAAACAGACATGGCAGCTGTCTGCCTAGAGAGAATTAGAAAAGTGCTCTACTAGGCTGACATTTCATCTGTTTACTAAACAAGACTGGGAGTCAGGCCAAAGACCCGCAATGGCCTGCTGTAGAAGGCTCGCTAACCCAGAGTAATAGTGAGCTTAGTATGGAAGTGGGATGCATAGGGTTAAAGTGGAAGGGAAGTCTGGGAAGGCAAGGTGAGACCCAGGTTGTCAGGTCTCTTGTGAGCCAAGTTTAGTAGGTTAGATTTTATCAAGACCCAAATAATTTTAAGTGGGATAATGGCAAAAACAAAACAAAAAAACCCACTCTTGAGGAGGTAGGTAGCAGGAATCATTTAGCTCCTTCAAGACTTAAAACTGCCTAGTTTAAGACCTCTGCATTAAACAAATGCCATTAAATTCTCAAATACAATAAACTGCCTGTTTAAAAAAAAGAGTAACTATAGCTTTAGGCCACTGAAGCTAACTAGAAATAGACTGGCTGCAAAAGAGATCTTCGAAGATTGCCATAAACTTTTGTTATAATCAAGCACACAAACAGAAGGTTCTACTAAGCACCAAAGGTATGGAGTAAGTCAGGTATAGGGACACAAGTCTGTAATTTCAGCCCTTGGGAAGCTGAGGCAGGAGGATTGCCTGGAGTTCAAGGCCAGCCTGACTACAGAGAGAGACCCTGTCTCAGAAAACATAAGCAAAAAAATTCTAACTAGAAAGTAATTTTGCCATACAATGTAAATTTTAGCAAAGCAATTGTGAACTTCAAAACATTCTATCAGCAGCACTACTTAAGCATTTCAATTCTGAGTAGTACATAGGGTAAAATTCTGAAATTTACTATCTTAATTTAAATGGTACTAATTTATTTTTAGCATATTTTGATTGTCAGATAACTAAAGTCAGATAACTAAAGTTTAATATGGCTGGTTTGGTACATTTACTAAACAGTCTTGTGTCACTGTTACAGAATAATAAAAAGTTAATCTTAAATTTCCATCTCTAATTCCTTTGGTGTTTGTTTACATTTTTAAATTTTATTTTTCTTTGTTTAGAGACAGAATCTCACTGCATGGTTCAGGCTGGCCTCAAACACCCAGCACTTGCAGCAATCCTCTTGCCTCACGGGCATGCATCCATGCCAGACCCCAGGTGTTTACATATAAGATACCTCGAAAACGAACAAAAAGCTGCCTAAGGAGTACTTAAATGTTTAATGTAGACTAGAAATTTCTAACTCAGGTCTAATAATAGCCTACCTATAAGCAATACCACTAGAAGACAATACTGAGAGTCGTCATTTTAGGCAAAGAAACTGAATGACAGATCCCAGGGCGGTTCTCTTGCAGGGAAAAAATACAGAACATCCCCACACTCCCCTTCCCACACAGCTCATTCCCCACTTGCGGTCACTGTGCTTAACCACAAACCATTTCTTCCCATCTCTTAACTAGTTCCTTAAGCACTGGCTTTCAAACTTTGGGTGCTATCCTCACATTGTGATCATTACATACATACAAATGTAAATAAAACCAAACCCAAAGTGTACAGGTACTTACCCTTAAGTGCAATGTACATTTCCTTTAATCTTTTAGATGCTTATCATGACTTACTAAAGATCCGTTATGACCTAGTATGAAGGGGCTCATTTCTACTAGATTAATTCCATGATGTGGTGGTGCACATAATATAGAAGGCTGGTATATTATAATATACTTGAACCTGATTCTTGACTTTATATGAAAGTCAGCTCTAGAACTTGTCTCTAATTGCTGATAGTAAGTTAATTTTTTCTATTGATACTTGCTGAAAACTTTTACTGTTAAGCTGTGTTAAAAATGCTAGTACAAGATATTCTTTTACATGGAAAAGTTAATTATACACCTTTAAAACAATATATACTTGGAAATATAACCCTTTTTTGTTTGTTTTGCCTTAGTCAAATACTGGAGATAATGTCAGCTGTAAGAGATGAGGAGCCACTGGAATTAGCCAATACGCTATATAACAACACCATTAAACTATTTTTTCCTGATACTTAATTGGCATATTCCAACATGTATGAAATACTTCATGGCAAAATTTACTGTAAATTTCAATAAAGAAAATTATCTGAAAGCTGTCTAAAGAAGAATCACTACACAGCATCCGCTTCACTGGTATCCATGAATTTTATATCATTCAATGTTGGTGTAAAACAATGAGAACCTAGCTATTTGCCTGCATTGTGTCATCTTATCAAGAGATAAAAGGACATTTGAGCACATTCTGCTGTAAATCAAAGTTTAGCTGATAAAAGCCTATTTCTGAGCTGACAGTATTGATTCACAACTCTTGAACTTAGCTATTCAAGTTTCAAAAAAATTCTGTTGCTTTTGGCAGGATAATTTTTTCCATCCATGGTTTTAAAATACTACTCCTTTGGTTAAATTAACTTACATATTGATCACTTTATTTCCTTGACTTTAATGTGATTTTTCTGGTTTGTACTTGCATTTTTTCCACTTTGAAAACTCATTTTAAAGAAATACTAGGGTGCAGTTAGAAACATTATATAATTTCATTGCGAATCTTTGGCACAGTTGACGCACCATTATGACTATTACATCTATTAAAAAGTTGTTTGTTCAAATTTTGTCATAAAAATGTGAAAACATTTTATTCTATGTACAATAATGTACACAAATTTAAATAGGTCACCAAAGAGACCAGAAGTAACTAAAGAGGTATATTTACAGTAGCACATCACAGTAAACGGAAAACCATTCACAGATTCAACATTGATACTGTTTTTTGTGCTTGGTTACACACTGAAGCAAAGCATATTCCATTTTGGATGAACTCAATTTTAAACAAATACCTCAGTGATTAGTAAATTATTTTAATCAGTGTCATCATTAAATTCTTCAGCTGCTGCACCTGTGTGCTGAATCCCTCCATTTCTTTCTCTTTGCACATCGTCATCACAATCTGTACTGTCATTTTCATTCAGTTCCCTGTCAGATTCAGCAGCATCTTCTCTTACTTCCTCTGGGTTTTCATTTTCATTGGCTGCAATAAATCCATTGTTGTTAGATATATTGGAATCGTCCTTGACATCATCTTCAATGTACACTTTTTGATGGCACATTGGACAAGTATCTTGAATGTATAGCCATTTCCGAAGACAAAGTGCATGGAAATAATGATTACATGGTGTAATACGAGCAGAAGTTGTAAACTCATGATAGCAAATTGCACATACATCATCTATTTCTTCCAAGCGGCTCCCTTTTATTTCAGGAAGTGAATTGATTTTCTTAACAGCAGTTCTACGATTCATGAATGTCTTCCAGCCATTTTTTGCTTGTAGGTAGATGTTAAAATATGCATGTAGGCACATCATACAAGCCCGAATTTTACTTCCTGACTCAAACATCATAGTATAAGCCCCATTTCCAAACATCACTACTCCAAATATAAATTCAATAATATTGCCGGTTGAACGAACATAGTAGACATAATCATCAAGCTTTTCCCAAAGGACATTATAGTAGCCATCAATCATGAATAACGTATAAACAGTGAGGGAAACAATTACTTTTAAGCAGAGCTCCACACAAAAGGCAGTAACTGCAAACAACCATGTATTTAGAGCATAGTGGTGCCAAAGAACATAGCTGAGTAAAACAGGAAGAATGAACAGGCAAGCAGAGACAAACAGCACAGGAAAATGTCTACGGAAAGATGAAACATGGGAGGCACTGAGAGACATTAATACAGGGTCTGTCATTCCATGGATGAAATGCAGGACTGCAGTTAACAAAAGGCACATGTTTCTACTTAAGCGAATAAGTCTCTCTTCTGGTCTTAGCCCACTTAAACCAGTCTGAAGAGCCAAAATAAAAAATAAAACAGGTGCTACAAAGCCAAGTCGCCTGTCATCTTCTTCAGTTGATCCAATAAAGGCCAATATTCCAAGCCCCAAATAATGGGCTATTGAGGAAATTACAGCACTCATACCCAGTACAGTAAGTGTAGAATCACATCCACTAATTATAAGATTGCAAATGATATCCCAGAAATCATCCCAAGAAATGAGGAAGGACTCAGTTTCATTTGCCATCCTTAGAATGTACATTAACACTGTAGCCTGAGCTATAATTCTTGTTAGCCAAAAGACTCGAAGTATATCTGGGAAACGAATCCTCTTCCATGTGTCCTCCATCAATAACTGTAATCCATAAATTCGATACATGTGCCTCACTAAAAGATAAACATATCGTGTGGAATAATAAAACCACCTAAGTTTCACTGCCAAAACAAGTATTGTATTTAATATGAGAATTAAGGAAGAGGTAAAAACTAAAGTCTCCCTGATGTGTAATGGTAGCTCTGTGATTAAGCCTATTACAGGAACCAAAAGATCCAAAACAATTAACTGTGAATAGATGGAATGAATCTGGAGTAGTGTGATGTATCCGATTCCAAATGTTAGCTGTAGAACAATGAGTGCCATCCACAGTGAGGGCCCTTTTTGAGGAAGCAGCTCAATTCCAAAGGCCGAAGTGTTGTAGGCACCGTAGAAGTCAATGTGCAAAGCAGCATAATAGTTCACCAACACTGAAGTTGCAGCTAATAGAAAGGCTGAGCTGTACATGTAAAACTTGAAAAGTGATCGCTGTGACAACATTAGAACAATACTGGATGCAAATATACCTAAAAAGAAAGAAAATAGAAAAGGTCATCTGAATGACGTATTTTCAGCATGTCTTACATTAATACTTAAATCTTCTGCCTTAAATTATGAATATTTTCAAAGTTATGAACATTAAGTCTCAAAAAAACTTAGACTCAGAGGACAGTAAGGTTTTGTAAAGTCAGATTTCAAGAGACCAGAGCACACTAAATTAGTCTTAAAAATCTCACCACTAGCTTGGGGGGGTGCACACCTGTAATTCCAGTACTCTGGGAGTCTGAGGCAGGAGGACTCCAAGTTGGAGCCCAACCTGGGCAATGGCATGAGACTGTGTCTCAAAATTAAAAGGAAAAAAAAAAAAGGCTTCAAGCTGCTGTGGCTCATTTGCTACAATTGGTTCAATCCCCGGTACCAGAGGAAAAAAAACACCTCACCCTTTATTTTCTAATTTCTACAATTTTGTCACAAAATTCCTAAATTATCTTCAGGACAAATTTGTACTGATATATACCTTTAGATAAATTTTAAAACTTAAAAGAACAAGTCCTTTATAATTTCATACTCATTAAAAACTTTAGGGCTGGGATGTAGCTCACTGGTACAGCGCTTGTCTAGGATGCTTGATGTCCTGTGTTTGATCCCCAACATTAAAAAAATAATAATTCCATCAAAAAATTAAGAATTAAATATGACCACGTGGGAAACATCACCAATATTAAGTCTTACAATTCTTTTTTGTAAAGTGTTCTCTTGGGAATCAAGTTTTATACTTCCATGTAATTCCTCCGTTTGTTCCAAGTATAAACTCACGCCAGCTCTTCTTCCTGTTCCTCAAATTTCAGCATTCTCCAAGGGTCTGTTTTTTTCCTTCTGATTTTGGAAATTACCTCCAACTTCCGTTTTTCCGGTATATTTCTGTATTCATTTCTTCAACCCTTTTTCTTCAGTTACAAAAGTAGCATTCAGAAAACCATAGTGTGTTAAAAAGGGATAATAAAACCCCTCCTCCCCTACTGTACACTGTCAACACTGGACATGCATCTGGACACATCTTTGAGCACAACAAAAAAAATTTGAAGATTTCAATAAACGGTCAAAGGTTTCAACTATAAAATGACATCAAAACATTCACGTAGTTCCACTCCTCCATTACCACTGCAAAAGTCAAAAACTGAAAGCCTAACTCACCTTAAACCAGAACCAGCTTTTCTCTGTGATTTCTACTTTCACGTGAAGGGTACCATCATTATGGTCCTAAGAATGCTTCAGGGCCCATGCTATCAAAGTGCCAATTAGTTGCCAAATTCTAACGTGTTTATCTCCCTTTTCTCAGTGGCACCAACCAAAGACACCTATAAATCACCAATTGTTTTTCTTTATTCCTCTGCTCAAATTACATTCTTCAGGTGGCTCTGAAATTACTAACTAAAGCTTATACTCATCTTAGCATTCAAGGACCCAATTTAAAGTGATATTCTTCCCAACACATGCACAGACACCCCAATGTACCAGATTTGTTTCCCTAGCTTCTGTCTACCACAGTTACATCTTTACAGTCTTCTCTTTGCTTAGAATGACAGCCCCACCAAGTTTCCAACCCTACTGTGGTTTACACATAAGTGTCTCGGATTCTGTATTAAGGGCATAATGTTCCATGCAGCAGTATTCAAAGGGGGCCTAGAGAACTAATTGTTTATGAAGGCTCTCACTGTCACTGGATTAATCCACAGATGGTATTTTAGATATTGTTAGGAGGTAACAAAAACTCAGAAGAAGAAACCTAGCTGAGGGCAGGTCGGGTGGTCCATATGATAGTGGAAGCATTTTAAAACCTGGTTCCTTTAAGTAATGACTGCCCATACACAAACTTTATCCTGTGCCTAAGTGTCAGGTCATTGTGAAAAGAAAACGCTGAACTAGAGGATCCATAAGCCTTTTTAGCAAGAGCCCGCTGCTTCTCCCACCCAAGTAGGCCACTAGCAGTCTTCTGGAGAATTGAGAACAGGGTCATTTCAACAGAAACTATATTTTCTGAGGATTAAAATCTTCCATGCAAGATAACAAGGAAATGGAATTAACTCAGTATACCATATGCCGTATGTGATCTTCCTTTAGGTTTTTTTTTGTTTTTTTTTTTTTTTTTTTT